AAGTTTTGGATGAAAGTTCTGTGGTCCGAGATTGGGTATTTTGGTAAGACTATAGCTTGCCTTTTTTTCAAAAATTCTTTCTGTAATTTAGGCATTTATAGGGCGGAATCAATGACTGCAAGAGAGTGGAGATATGGTGGAGGTTTTTTCTTGTTTGTTTTCATATTTTGACCACGTTTTTTTGGATGAAAGATATACTTGGTCGAGATTGGGTATTATTGGTAAGGTATTAGCCTTTGGCCTTTTTTTTTGAATTTTTTTTCATAATCCTTTCTAGTAAAAGTGCCTTTTTAGAGCATAATGTGCAAGAGAGTCGAGGATGTTCCGTTTTTTCTTGTTTGTTTTAGTATAATTTAACAAGTCTCTTGGATGAAATTTCTTGGTCGAGAATTGGGATATTTTTTTGGTAAGTATAGGCTATAGCTTGCTTTTTTTTCAAAAAAGTTTCTAGTAAAATGCTTTTAGAGATAAATGCAACTGCCAGAGAGTGACGATGTTTACCGATTTTTTTGTTTGTTTTAGTATATTTAAGTCCAAGTTAATTGGATGAAAAGTTTTGGTGAGATTGGTTAAATATACTGAAAACAAACAAGAAAAACGTGTAAGTCATCTCTCGACTCTCTTGGCAGTTGCATTATGCTCTAAAAAGGCACTTTTACTAGAAAGGGGTTTTTGAAAAAAAGGCAAGGCTATAGCCTTACCAAAATACCCAATTCTCGACCAAGAACTTTTTCATCCAAAACTTGGTTAAATACAGTGAAAACAAACAAGAAAAACGTGTAAGTCATCTCTCGACTCTCTTGGCAGTTGCATTATGCTCTAAAAAGGCACTTTTACTAGAAAGGGGTTTTTGAAAAAAAGGCAAGGCTATAGCCTTACCAAAATATCCGATTCTCGACCAAGAACTTTTTCATCCAAAACTTGGTTAAATATACTGAAAACAAACAAGAAAAACGTGTAAGTCATCTCTCGACTCTCTTGGCAGTTGCATTATGCTCTAAAAAGGCACTTTTACATGAAGGGTGTTTTTGAAAAAAAGGCAAGGCTATAGCCTTACCAAAATACCCAATTCTCGACCAAGAACTTTTTCATCCAAAACTTGGTTAAATACACTGAAAACAAACAAGAAAAACGTGTAAGTCATCTCTCGACTCTCTTGGCAGTTGCATTATGCTCTAAAAAGGCACTTTAACAAGAAAGGGGTTTTTTAAAAAAAAGGCAAGGCTATAGTCTTACCAAAATACCCAATTCTCAACCAAAAACTTTTTCATCCAAAACTTGGTTAAATATACTGAAAACAAACAAGAAAAACGTGCAAGTCATCTCTCGACTCTCTTGGCAGTTGCATTATGCTCTAAAAAGGCACATTAACAAGAAAGGGGTTTTTTAAAAAAAAGGCAAGGCTATAGTCTTACCAAAATACCCAATTCTCGACCAAAAACTTTTTGATCCAAAACTTGGTTAAATATACTGAAAACAAACAAGAAAAACGTGTAAGTCATCTCTCGACTCTCTTGGCAGTTGCTTTATGCTCTAAAAAGGCACTTTTACTAGAAAGGGGTTTTTGAAAAAAAGGCAAGGCTATAGCCTTACCAAAATACCCAATTCTCGACCAAGAACTTTTTCATCCAAAACTTGGTTAAATATACTGAAAACAAACAAGAAAAACGTGTAAATCATATGTCGACTCTCTTGGCAGTTGCTTTATGCTCTAAAAAGGCACTTTTACTAGAAAGGGGTTTTTGAAAAAAAAGCAAGGCTATAGCCTTACCAAAATACCCAATTCTCGACCAAGAACTTTTTCATCCAAAACTTGGTTAAATATACTGAAAACAAACAGGAAAAACGTGTAAATCATATGTCGACTCTCTTGGCAGTTGCTTTATGCTCTAAAAAGGCACTTTTACTAGAAAGGGATTTTTAAAAAAAGGCAAGGCTATAGTCTTACCAAAGTACCCAATTCTCAACCAAGAACTTTTTCATCCAAAACTTGGTTCAATATACTGAAAACAAACAAGAAAAACGTGTAAGTCATCTCTCGACTCTCTTGGCAGTTGCATTATGCTCTAAAAAGGCACTTTTACTAGAAAGGGGTTTTTGAAAAAAAGGCAAGGCTATAGCCTCACCAAAATACCCAATTCTCGACCAAGAACTTTTTCATCCAAAACTTGGTTAAATATACTGAAAACAAACAAGAAAAACGTGTAAGTCATCTCTCGACTCTCTTGGCAGTTGCATTTTGCTCTAAAAAAGCACTTTTACTAGAAAGGGGTTTTTGAAAAAAAGGCAAGGCTATAGCCTTACCAAAATACCCAATTCTCGACCAAGAACTTTTTCATCCAAAACTTGGTTAAATATACTGAAAACAAACAAGAAAAACGTGTAAATCATATGTCGACTCTCTTGGCAGTTGCTTTATGCTCTAAAAAGGCACTTTTACTAGAAAGGGGTTTTTGAAAAAAAAGCAAGGCTATAGCCTTACCAAAATACCCAATTCTCGACCAAGAACTTTTTCATCCAAAACTTGGTTAAATATACTGAAAACAAACAGGAAAAACGTGTAAATCATATGTCGACTCTCTTGGCAGTTGCTTTATGCTCTAAAAAGGCACTTTTACTAGAAAGGGGTTTTTAAAAAAAGGCAAGGCTATAGTCTTACCAAAGTACCCAATTCTCAACCAAGAACTTTTTCATCCAAAACTTGGTTCAATATACTGAAAACAAACAAGAAAAACGTGTAAGTCATCTCTCGACTCTCTTGGCAGTTGCATTATGCTCTAAAAAGGCACTTTTACTAGAAAGGGGTTTTTGAAAAAAAGGCAAGGCTATAGCCTCACCAAAATACCCAATTCTCGACCAAGAACTTTTTCATCCAAAACTTGGTTAAATATACTGAAAACAAACAAGAAAAACGTGTAAGTCATCTCTCGACTCTCTTGGCAGTTGCATTTTGCTCTAAAAAAGCACTTTTACTAGAAAGGGGTTTTTGAAAAAAAGGCAAGGCTATAGCCTTACCAAAATACCCAATTCTCGACCAAGAACTTTTTCATCCAAAACTTGGTTAAATATACTGAAAACAAACAAGAAAAACGTGTAAGTCATCTCTCGACTCTCTTGGCAGTTGCATTATGCTCTAAAAAAGCACTTTTACTAGAAAGGGGTTTTTGAAAAAAAGGCAAGGCTATAGTCTTACCAAAATACCCAATTCTCGGCCAAGAATTTTTTCATCCAAAACTTGGTTAAATACACTGAAAAAAAACAAGAAAAACGTGTAAATCAACTCTCGACTCTCTTGGCAGTTGCATTATGCTCTAAAAAGCACTTTTACTAGAAAGGGGTTTTTGAAAAAAAGGCAAGGCTATAGCCTTACCAAAATACCCAATTCTCGACGAAGAACTTTTTCATCCAAAACTTGGTTAAATATACTGAAAACAAACAAGAAAAACGTGTAAATCATCTGTCGACTCTCTTGGCAGTTGCATTATGCTCTAAAAAGGCACTTTTACTAGAAAGGGGTTTTTGAAAAAAGGCAAGGCTATAGTCTTACCAAAATACCCGATTCTTGACCGAAAACTATTTTATCCAAAACTTGGTTTAATACACAAACTTGGTTTAATACACTCTGGTTTAATACATTCTAGGTAAAATAAACTAGAAAAACGTTTAAATCATCTCTTGATAATATTTACTGATGTATGCTGTAAACTTTTCCTTTTACAGGATTAAAGTTTTCGTAAAAAAGCCTTATAGTGTCCCTTGGAAGAAGTACACTTTTTGAGTATCATATTTTGTACTTAAGAGTCAATTTTAAAAATTAAAGAACCAATGCTTCTAAGCAATATAAGCATCGCTGGTCAATTGATTTGTATATTTGTCTTCATTCTAGAGGAATTATTTTTATCTGTTTCTAAAGGACTCTGCAATTAGTCCATAGAGGGAAGTCCGTTGTGCAATTTTAATCTTGTCTAGTGTCCAACGAAGCCTTTTTCTTGTTCGTAAAAGGAAAAGGCTATATACTAGCTTAAAGTGTACAAACTGCATACTTAGAGTGTCCAAAGTTTACATTAAATAGAGTTGAAATCTGTTGTTAATTGTGAGAAATAGTTGCTTATCCGAATTATGGCATTGTGGAACGATTCGTTTTTTAAGAACTCGAGGTTATAACTTGGTTAGAATCTAGAGCAGTATATAAGATATGTTACGTGTCATAACTATTTCATACTGCCTCTGTCGAACAATGTGATCCCTTAAAACGACAGTTGTTGTTCGAATCGTTGTATAATACATATTTACGTTCTCAGAAGTGTTCATGACTTTAATTTACGTCAGACAGCTCATTATCACGTTGATCTGCTTTTTGTGAAAGAAAAAAGTATGAACAAACTTGATGCTTTGAAACACCATTTAATATATTTTTCCAACATAACATTTCATTTTCTTACACATAGTGAATAAAAAATAATTTCCCTTTCTTTAGATACTAGTTAATTAATTTTTACACCCTAAATACAACACTTGATAGTTTTATCAAATATACAACAAAATACATTGCGAGATTAATTCCCATTAAATTCTATAGATTAGGATAAAAATCATATGATGTTCATTCATTCTTTATTGCGTTAAGGAAATTTGGACCCTAGCCAACAGAGGGCCATTGACTTTGGGTATATTTCAAAGGATAGTTAAACTTGTCTTGCCTACTGCCAACGAGTGGATATAAACTATGCTGTTTCCTTAGGGCTTAAGAAAGTTCCTCCTAAGTTGGACATTGTTTCAGAAGTACTCCTCTCTATGAAAATTATTAAGAAAAGAGTCAGTGCTGCCAAAGGGATATTCTACAGCCTGATGGGCAGAGCAAAGGGTTGGGATAGTATAACATTGAGAAGGGTGTGGTTACATTTCAAATCTATGTTGTATTATATATGATCATTTATGGAATTAAGGTGGCAAACATTGCTATGCATAAGTAATTTAAACGAATTCATTGGCTCCAGCACCTTGGCTCACAAACTGGGGGTTTGGGTGATGGTCTCCTTCAACTTGAATAAGCTTAACGAATAATGAAAACATGAGCTAGGGAAAATAATTTTTAGCAATTGCCCAAAAAAAATAAACTTGGGGTCTTTCAAGCTTGTTGTTCCTTTTTTCGATTATTGAAACCAAACTAAAGTTTACTGCTTTAGCACAGTAGGAAAACCCTCTCTGTAGTTGAAGGAACAACTTTTAACACTCCTCTTTAAATATCACTATTCTACACAAATGTTTGAAAATTAAACCTCACAGTTAAACAACATAAGATAGACTTACAAATAAAAATAACAAATAAGTCATTTTTAGATAAAGCTTATTATTAATATTATACTAAAATTTTCATAATATTTATTCCACGATTTCGTATTAATTACATGTGGTAAGAAGAACTATATTTTTTAAGCTTTAAGGTTGCATTTACTGATTTCTAAGCTGATAAGACGGTCTATTTTACAAAGCAATTTTGCGAGACTAAGAGGAAACTGCCTTTATGACTGATCAGGATTAAGTAGGATCGCAAAAGACGAGCAAACTTCAGTATGAGTAATAACCAAGTCTAAGAGTTCTAAGGCAGGCCAAAATTAGTGAAACTTTATGCATTTCTCTGTACAAGAGATTCAATTTCAGAACACTTTGATACTAGATCGACCGAAGTCATTTTACAAGCAAGCACATATTTTGCTGGATTTTCAATAGCCTAATTCACTGTTCGAAATAGCCCTAAATAGGGATCCAACTATAAGTCTGAGTACAGCAATTTAGACTAAGACATATTATCCTTAGCATGAAATATGGAGCGGATACTTTAATATACATATACGACATTTTAAAGTGCATTTGTGTTGAATTCATTATAATAAGCTTCTAAGATATTTACTAGTTAGTGCATGAAATTCTTCAATATTTGCATTGTAAGGAAGTAAGTACGAGGATTTTAAGGCCTGTAAAATTGTAAGAGACCGTCAAAATAACAAGAGACCTGCAAATCATATTTCTTTGCTGCAAGAAATGATCTCTCTTAGGTTAGTCCCCGTTTTTTGAGATCAGTGAGAGGCGCATGTAATGGTTTAAAATAGTCAGGTGTTCAGGAAAAAGCTGTAAAGAATATCTGAAATAAATATACACTTCTTTTTTAACAGGAAAATTTCAAGTATAAGATTTATCGCATGAGTATAATCTTCAGCGATAATTATCAGAAATCTTAAGTGCATGAATTGTCACACAAACAGTAGAATTGGACAGAGGGTAATTGTGTGCCCAGAATTTTCAGAATATCTAGAAGACAGCCAATTTTGGTCATCTTAGGTGTCCCTTGTTGACTAGTGCCTCGCAAACCCCACTAGGCTCCATATTCGAATAGCCAATGACGAGTGAACCTGATACAGCAGGGTTTTTCGAATATGACGTCAGGACAGCCATCTTGGAACAAAGGTGATATACGATTCAATAAAGGCACCAGACGCCAAGAGTCAGTAGCAGACGAGAAACTGGGATTATCAAGAGCCATTTGTCACCATCAGTGGTATTCTTTAAAAATATTCCTCACCACACAAAATGGCTGCCTTGAAAGACATCCTCGTTTGGTGATTCTTCCTGTTCCTCCTGCGCAGTTTCAATGCCAGCTGGTAAAATACTGCTCAGCGACGGTGAATGCGACTTTAAGTCTTTCCAATATTCGTAAATTGTTTTATGAATAAATATATATTGTTCATCCTTCTGCACCATGCCTCCTCTGAAAAATGGAAAAACAAACAATTATAACAAATCGCTGAATCAAAAGATGCATCTTACGTGGCCTGAATTTTCCAAACTGACAGCCCAGGATAAAACAGCAATAGAAATAAGAATACACATCTATTCACGGACACCTCCCAACAACGGACAATTACAACTAACGGACAAATAGCTTTCTCGCCAAACTTTTATCACCTGCCCTGGAAGTCTTGTATAGTAACACAATAAAAGCGGACAGTACCAAACAACGGAAAATAACTTGAGTTGTACTTGAGTTTGGCTCGACATTTGAAGGTTTACCGTGGCTTTTTACTAAAGGCGGTCTGTCTCCTCCGTGATTGGCTAATTCTAACTTGAAAGCCTCGCCTTAAAAGAGGGACTTTCTCTGCCTTTTTAGCATCCGACATTAGCTGAACACGACAAAAATGCCTAATCTTTGTATCCTGGAAACTGACTTAGACGTTTGCCACCGAATCGAAACTCATAGCAACTCCTCGCTCAGGGAGAGTGCGCTATGGTGGTTCTTCATTCTGATTGGTTATTTGTGCATTAAACCAACGATGCATGAATATCATGGCCACAAATCTGAAAACAATGGCGGACAGACGGTACTAGTTTTAAACCATTTTGTCGAGATATGTGGAGACACTGACCGTCTAGCTCCGGTTGCTGTAGTGAAATGCATTTGAAATCACTCGATCGACTCAATCACTTATAATCAATACAAACAGAATCGACTAATCAAAGGTAAACATACCGATCAAGACGCATCGTGCTGACTATTTTGAGAATATTTGCAACTTGCTCATCCTGAAACATAGTAAACGATCAAAATAAATATCACTTAAGTAAATGATCAATAACAGTCAAAACCATCTTAGAAAAGGTTATCTTTTCTCGATTTGATCATCTGCTGATAGAGGTCCTTTTAAAGAAATCCCCTGCAAGCAACTTCTTACGTAGTTGTTACCTATAGCCAGTGTATTATAAGTTTATTTATGTAAATTGCAGTTATTTCGTGTAGTTGAAGTAATATATTGTTTGAAAGGAATATCAATATATGAAAACTGAACTGTGATTATCAAGCAAGAGAAATTGATTAAAGTTGTTTGAAGGTAAAAAATTCCAGCATGATAAACCCGATAGCAGTGACGGGGAAGATACTCTAAAAAAGTTACAAAAATCCTATTATTCGTACCATATTACAACATATAGTTACTCTAAAAAGTTAGCACCATTGCATATAGAACGGCAAGAATACTATTATTAACGTCTGGCGAAAAAACTGGCATTATAACACCAACAAGGGTGTATAACTAAACAGAATGAAGAAAATTAAAACCATTGTAACACAAGTTATCATAATATTTAAACAAAAACTCACTTCTACTTGTTCCATGGCGTGACAAATTGCAATAAAACAGCCAGTTCTGCCGCGACCAGCGCTGAAGATAAGAATTTCCAGTTGATTAATGAAAAGTGTAACCTTGAGAAATTAACATATTTGGATTCTTGAATGAGGGGGGGGGGGTTGGCTGCCTGAGAATTTTCTACCCCAATACAATTTCATAAAATGCCTCAAAATGCACTCGGCAGCGATGATCGACAAAAATAGGATTTTGGAAGGGGGGTGAGGATGGCTTTTATTAAGTTTGACAGAACAGATTTAAAACATAGATTCCAAAGTTGCTACAAAATGGCTTTGCAAGCTGTTGCATACGCGTATTTGATGTAACCAGTAAAAAACCTAGTGGCGGAGCATAGATATCACGAAGGAAAGATAGTGGGTATGTGCTGTAATAGTACGGTCATGGCTACATGGTGCCAATGGATAGTGAAGTAATAGTGTACACTAAAAGATCTGTTGTCGAGTAATTTTACAAGGGGAGGAATCGATTCTCTCTAAATAAAGGTGTGGAAAATAGCAGGGGTGTTGTTAGAATGTCAACACAGAGGGGGGGGGGGCGGTTGGCGCATCAAAAATGTTCGATGCAAAAAACAAACGATGCATGAATCAAACAAAAGTTCAATTGAACGTGATGAACTGGAAGTTATGTTGAAGTCAAAAGATTTTGGACGATAAGATTCTATAAAAGTAGTAGCATTTATGTGCGATCATAAGCACGTTTAATATTGAATGTCCTGGCCTAGCCTAAATCATTGAGTGTAATCCCATAAACAAAAAGACGCAGGTCAGTGCAGATTTCCAGCACAACTAAAAGCAAAACATTGACTATGGGCCTACCTGCAATGTACAACAACAGGACCACAGTCTTTTGTATGCTGCGCAGTATCAACCGCACTTCTAACATCCTTTGCTAAGGAAATTATATCTGAGCAAGACTTTGGAACTTTATGGTCCGGCCATGAAGTAAACCAGTAATGCGTTATTAGTCGAGACTCTTCTAAGAACTGAAAGAGGAAGAAAACAATTTCTAAGAAATCACCTTTGGAGGATGTTTTGAATATTAATCTCTTGAAATTTTTAACAAGTAGGGGGGGGGATGGAGGGAAGGGAAAGTTGAACTGAGACAGATCAATCTCTGATGTAGTGTCAGGCATTAACATCTCATCGTTAAGAAACTAAGTAGGTTTCAAGTCATACAATCGAATCATAAAATTTCATACAATTCTATTCTTCCCTGGATGATAATTTCTATTTTAGCACTAAAACTTAAAAATGATGTTTGATTCGTTATTGTTAAGATCTAAGGGTTGCGTTCATTTCTTAACGAAAAACACTGACTAAAAATAAAAACAAATAGAACAGGGGATTTTCGGAAACATTCCGCGTTTAAGTAGTAGTCCGGTTTCAAGTGAAGTAAAAGACAAATAAACCTACCTTTCCGTGACTTATATATAATTTTGTGATGACGTAGCCCCCTGCGTCAACTTTAGAATCAAAAGTGACAGTAATATCATCGTATTTTACTTGGGTTTTGGAATTAGGACTGGGCCAATACTCGGCGCATTTCTCCTGCAAAATGAAGGAATTGCAGATAAAACTGTTCTAAAAATACCAAAGTTGGCAGTACTACCGATGTAGATGAAGAACTATTCTAGATTGGCGAGGTTGTATAAACTTACAATATTGGGCACATCTTTGTAGTCGAATGCCTACTTTCAAATTGGGTATTATCATAAATAGTTCGGCATCAACCCCCCCCCCCCTCCCATATCCTATTCAATGCAGAGAAAAAGACATTGAGCCGGGAGGGGGTAGAAATATCAACATTGTCTGCCCAGGACTGTCGCCCATGTGCTTAAGTTGAGTTCTGAAAGGGCTGAATCTTTCAATGACATGCTTCATCACTAAGTATTCTTATCATTAAAAGGGTACCAAGGTCTCCATAAAAGCCAAGACAGTGTTAGGGTTTCATACTCTCTTTCACCCTAGATTTATGCTTATACCATTGCTATTAAAACACATGCATCCCAACGCTGAATGATAGAAATATCGACATGTTTTCCCATACATGCATGCGGCCTGTCAAGCGTACAAGGGTTTGTCTCATCGACTGTACTGAGCTCTAGCTAAATTTACGGAAACCTTAAATAAGAATTTGTGATATAGAAAGAAGTACCAAGTTACAGAAAGAAATGATGCCATAGTTGAAGCATGCTGCAATACAGATGGCTATTAAAAATTATTCTGATGAAGAAATCTCTACAAAACTATAATGATTCTGGCTTAATGGTGGTTGTTAAAACAAAAATGAAATTTTTTAATAAAAACAACACATGACAAAAATGGTACAGATGCAGATGACAAATAAAGGGTCATTTCTAAAGTACTTTGAACCTAAATTAAAAAGGCCGTTGAATGAAGACGGGAATCCGTTGACAAATAAGTGGTCTACAAAATGGATTCCTTCCAATTTTTACGTCATAAAAATCTTCTCAAAGTTATACTCAACCTACCTCATTTTTCTCTTTTAATTTTGTTATCATAACTATATTTTGGCACTTTTGTTCCCAAATCATCCGCCAGAAATTCGCAACTGTGCTTTGTAATGGACCTGCAAAAATTATTTGGAACTAATTAAAAACATTGAATGGGGCATTACGGTCCTATCAATAAAAGTGCTTTAACAATGACCTCTGCTCATTCCCCCCCCCCCCCCCGCCCAACACTCCGACGTGACTGAAAGATCCTATCATTAAATGAATTCTTTCTATCTAGGCAAGATTTGGTTCTTATTCTACATTAGCAATGGAAGAAAACAGCTGTCAATTACCCACAAAAAATTTTCCCGATTTTCTGTCTATTCTTTGCTACGTCAGGGTACTTCAGACAATGTGCTCATATATTTAAGTCTTACAACTACAGTCATTTTTGCAATAAATAACACAATACAAAATATAAGTCGAAAATATCAAATTATTACCTTCTGTTGCAATATACATATTGGCAGCGTTACCATATCCCTAAAATAAATGAAGCATGATAGTGAGGCTTTTACATAAAGATGGAATCTGTAAAAATCATACTGTGAACGGAAGTTTAGTTTTAAGACTAAAATACTTAAAAGAAAGCTAGAGAATGGAGACAGTATACACATTAAAGGCATCAAGGATGAGATTTTGTATAATTATGTAAAAAGGTATTTTGTATAATTAGACAATTTTCTGAAAAATAAACTTCCTGTCTGAAAAATAATCGGGGTAGATTAATTATAAGAGGTAAGGGTGTTTTTGAAAGGAACGAAAATATTTTTCGAAATCCAACTCGCTCCAACAAACCACAATTTTAGCTTGCTCGAATAAAAAGCCTCACTGAGTTTGAAACCTTAAGCGAGGCATTAATATGCTGATTAAATGAAATAATTGATACAAACATTACATAAATGCAATACTGTCTATAATCCTCTATTAAAGATAACCAATGAAATTAACAAACCAAATGCTGTTTATTTGATAAACAAGAGTCAAAGTTATAAAGTTTGTGGGCCTAATACGAGCAAAGTTTGTGGGCAATTTCTATACCGTATGCTGGTTTAAAAAATGCAAGACGTTACAAAAAGTTAAGTTTAAAAGTTTAGTACTCGTACAAAAAGTAACTTGAAAAATTCTAAACATACCCTGATATAGTTTGCGTTAATATAAGTCGAGTTTGGGTCACCATTTATTAACTTTAGTTGAACTGCTGTTTTTGGATCTAAAAGAGAAAAGAAAAATATGAGGTTCATGATAAAGTTAATGTAAAATTTCTAGGGAGGTAGGAAAAAGTGGAATAATTACGAACAATCAAGGTAGCTAGTAGATGGCCAATTTATAGACTTAAACCAGTAAAACAATGCAGAAAAATGAGGTCATCGTGAGAGATTAAAAAAATTAGGTCCTGGTATGACACTCTTCAGAGCATAGAAAATCGAATAATGGCAAACTGAGTGGAAACAGCCAAGTTTGCATCAAAAATAACCTTAGAGGAAAAATTTCACCTTTGACTAGTTCCTTAGTATAAGCCAATTTGCGACCACTAGTCCCGCACGCGAGGAGCAGCGGACGAAAACGAAAATTGGGCTAATAAGTTGTGAAAACAAAGTGACTTACTAGGAATATAATCAGGATATCTATTTTTCAAACTAGCATTTGACATCGACTGTTTGTCTCTTCTATGCACAGTGTTGGTGGGTATAGCCTGGAAATGGATGAGACAGGAAACATAATCAATGAGATTGGAATTTTAATCGAACAACCTGATTCATTGGCGATTGATCTGAATGACCATTTGGGGTGGCCATAACCAAATTTAATAATTTCGTTCATCTGTCTTTTCTTTGTATGACAAGGGAATAGTGATAAATGTCTTTCAAGCTAATACATACCCAAAATTCCCTAAACAGTAATTCTGTATTCTCTTTTTCGTCTTCTAAATCACGAAATTTCATGTATTTGGACATACTCAGCAATGATTCTTCAGTTGGGCTAAAAAACCAAATGTTTTTTAAAATTCTATAAATCTGATGATTGAAAGTTATTTCCATGCATTCACTTGACTACAACTTCGATTTTCATTTAAAACCCCTTACCTCCCAACTCCCCTGGCTACTAAAGGCAATGTGTCGCACCGTTCATTGGTTTACCCAAACAAAGAATACAATTTTTATTTCTGCGAATTTCTGCGAAATTTAATTTCGTAACAAAGGTGGCCTCTAGTTATACTAATTAAGTACTCTTCTCTAAATTCAAGAACCCTGGGATAGCTAACAGAAAACACGGTACACTGTCTTGTTTAGAATATAGGCCAACTCCCTAACATGCAATAAAAGGTCGACTATGACTAAAATGTCCAATTCGCTAGTAATGTTTAGATGAGACTAGCTAAGATGTATTTTGACACGCTCAAACAAGGTCTTACAAACTAAAAGCTTTCGAAAATCTGCAGATATAAAATGTTCAGCAGCATTCTTGCAAGACAAGATTATTCTTTTTTGAAAAATCTAGTGAAGGACAATCACCTAAGGAGTAGGAGCATTGTTTGATTAATGAGAAAGATTCGATCCTGGGCAGATGGTGATCAGATTTTGAACTCCCTTTCTTCTGCTATGTTTATTTTTTTGCTACTATTATTATTTTTTCACATCATTAAGTTGAATCAAAAAGGGGCAAAAGGTTGGAGGATCCATGCACGCTATTTGATACGTGTCAGAGTTGTGATGCAACAGTTGTGTCCAAGATCGAAAAATTAGCTGCTGTTTTTTCTCTAAATTTTGTCGTTCGCATCATGTTTCAATTAATCATTGTTACTTCATTGGCAGAAAAGAAAGAACGGTTTTAGTATCACTCTAAGATATTAGGAGTATTGTGCTTGATTTTATGTGAGGATTGATTATGCAAAGTTTGCCAAGGGCAGGGCAAAATCTTCAGTTTATTCTCCTGCTCTCGTAGGAATTTCTAACTGAATAGAAGTTGTTGGGATTAAACACAGCTTTGAAGACTATGTTGAGTACATATCAAAAACAAGCAGGCAACTGGCCTTGAACCTTTAGGTAACATTAAAATACATCGGAACTGAGAGCATTGATGAAGCCAATTTCCACTTTTTCATTTTGTGTAGTTTCGTGTTAATTTTGTTTTAGAATCTACAGAAAAAACGGGTATTTTTGTTGGTCTAATACGGAACTTAGCATCTAACAGAAGCATCGCAATCACAAATACAGACTTACCTTTCGTGGCCTCGGTTTGATATGATATTCTGCCCTGGAGTCAGATCAATAACCAACGAAGCTTGCGATCCACGTCTGTAATACAAAAGTTTTTAGAGCGATGAGAAGTTTATTTAACCGATTCAAAACAATCCTTTAAAAAATACAAAAGTTTTCCTATAATGCAAGGGTGTAACAGTTTTCATATGCTTAAAGGCATCTAGTTATTGTTTAAAGGCATCATCAGTAGGAAGTCCTTTGCTTTCGGTGTGATCACTGTAGATTCATGTGATTTTGGCACATGAAACTACAACCGACCGTTGAAGAAACCTGTTTTCGACACCAGTACGAGGCAGCTTCATGTGATCAGTCTTTAGACCACCAATAACAATGCAATATTATTTCTCAACTCAGTGTATTGTGATATACCATCTTCTTTTATCATGACTAAAGGCCTTTGAGTAAAATATTTACATAGCATTCATCAAATGATAAGGAAGATATTAGCTTTGTTTCTGGTATTGTTTTTGAAATTCTACAGTGTTGTGACATAGGGTATTGAGAATTAAGTTACCCAAAAGTTTGAGGCTTTTATTTAGCAAACCAGATTGGGTTCTAAAGCAGGAAAATTCTCGTCTTGAACATACCGACTTTGAAGAAGCCCGGGTCTTTTGTGCTCTCGATCTCCGGACCATTTCTGCACTTTACGAGGTGAGCCATGGATAGTGTAAAGGTCTTTCATCTGAGGTTGCACCATTGTAGGAGACATGGTATCAATAGGCTTTATTGTGTGACATACAAATGTGTCATGTTTCTCACGGTTCGAATGGCTAGTTGACCCTCCATCTTTTCTATTTTTTGATCTTTTGAAGAAACACTGCAAAGAGTGATAGTTTTCAAGATTTAAATGAAGCAGAAAACGGAAGGGTGTTTCTGGAAAGAAAAGTATGTTGGTGAATACAAATACAGACCTACTCCACAGTACTAGGAATATTATCATAACCAAAGCAAATTAAATAGATGTTAATTAAAAAGAAATAAAGGCAATATGGCTTCTCTGGTATCGGCAGCAATTTCTTTAATATACAGCGAAATATTCAACCATAATGGAACTCAAATAGAAAGAGAAGATTCGAAGGGGTTCCATAGAGACTTCGGACAATAACATGGTGAAAACCCTGTTTCATGTCAATTTTTTTTTTGCTTTTATATCTTTCCAAATTATCTCGAAAACAATATAGGATGTCGAAACGGGGTGACGAAACAGTGTGACGAAACGGGGTGACGAAACAGGGTGTCGAAACGCGGTGTCGAAACGAGGTGTCGAAACGCGGTGTCGAAACGGGGATTCCAAGCATCCATAAGGCCTTTGAGGATGCTCCTAATTAAAAGCACATTCTGATCATTGGCTTTCTACGTTTACAGCTCTTTCTATAAGGCATTTAGTTCTAAGACTGGTAAATAGTAATTTTTATATTTCTGACGCAAGGCTCAAAGTTAAGGATACATTTAGAGAAATTGGAAAAATCGCCATGTTAAATAATCACATGGTAAACAAGGATACTTTAGTGGGGGTTGATCAAAATTGGAGGTGGGAGAGAGTGCGACCTAAGAAACAATTAAGAAAGGCATTAAGAGCACAGCTGAAATTTTGAATTTCTACGTATGCTTTAAGTCCATTGTTGGGTTGATATTCAAAAATAAACATTATAAAAAAAATATCAGGACCGAGCAATAAAAAATAATATGACACTTGCAATCATCATTATAGTAAAAAATTATAAAAATAAAAGAAGACTAGCATTTTTCATCATATAAAACAGCAGACTGATATTATTATTCCAAATATTTCCCGCAAGTACAAACGTGAAATCTTCGACATCAGATTTCAAAAACAATGTAAAATACGTCTACAGCTTCTATTATAAATTCATACGTACAACAACAACAGCCATGACTATCATGAACAGAAAGGTTGCTGTGGCAACGGCTGCAACTGGAAACCAGACCTCTTCAGTGATGTTAGGATGCAGGGTCATTATTTCAACATTCCTCTGAAAAAATACGAAAACATAGTAATAATTTGAGCGCCAAGTACTAAAAACAGTTAAAATAGTGTCAAGATCAGTTTCATTAACCCATATTGCAAATGGCACTGATGAAAATTCCGGAATTTCTTCACGCGTTTTTTGGGTACATAAATTTCTTATTGGCTTAAGCCGATTTCGCAGACTAAGTCTTGGGGGACATCTATTAATATTTTGCATTGCGGGGTGAACGGAGAATCATTTATCAATTAAAAATTTCACTTGTTTTGGACGGATGTTGTAAATTTTTGATAGCAAATCAAACTATTTTAAGACTAATTGTAATAACGATTGTTGCTGTTAACCTTAAAATACACTTTTATGGTTTGAAATAGAAATATGACAAACACAAGAAAAGCGTCTTCACTTACAAACAGTAAAATCCCTTCGAAACTTGAAGGTATACATGGTATATGGTTTGCTCTACATGAAAAATATTTCATAAGAAACAATCTAAAGACTAGGTAAATACCTTGACATAATACTTGGTGATGTTGTAATCTTGTAAGAAGCCTGCCATCTTTTTTGTTTCAAAAAGCCTTACAAGATCTTTGCCATCGATAAGATCATCAGCGCTTGCTTTCGACGTGGTCTTTCTGCAATACACTTCTAAGGTCTGTAAGGCTGACTTCACCTGAAATACACACAAAGAATGATGAAATATTCCATGTGTTGGAAAAAATCTGTTCGGTTAGAGAAACACGCTCAATGGCAGGGCAAACTAAACTGGGGCGCCACATTACGGTCTGGTCAAAAATAGCACGAATTCTACTTCTTAATAAAGAGTTTGCGGACACTTGAAATGATGCGATGTTGTTACTCACAGAGAATGTGCTTAATTATTCATAGCCTATGGAAATTAGGAATTTTAAAGTTTTGAAGCGGGCAGCAAGGAAAAAGGCAGAATAAGCTATACCACAGACATTTGTACAGGCAAGTTAACATGGCGCCATGATTAAAATATGTTTTTGGCTGTTTACATATTTAGCAAAGGCACTTACTTGCTAATGAAATTGCAAAAATTCTGTGGTTGAGAAATCAGGTTTTTTGCTTAGTCCAATTTTTGAGATTTTAAAACTCGCTTTTACGGACAGTAGGCTCAGTATTAGCGCATTATCCCGGCTTTTCAGAAAAAAGATAAACACAAATGGTAAAGACTGACCAACCGTCTAGAATATTCAAGATAATGGCAATAAATCTAGAATTAGGCCTTATTTTGGGCTTTCATATTTAAGAGTTTTCAACGTGGTAGGATTGTCAATAACCGATTGACAGTGTGTGATATAAGATTCTGTTCTGGATTTTCCACTGGACTTTCACATTAAAGCAAATAGTGCGAGTCCGCATTTTTCTCCAGAGATCCTGACTGGCTAGGTTTTCTCTTCCACCGTTGAACCAAAACTGATTGTTCCTCGCGAACAATAATTCACCATCGTCATCCCCGCCGAGGTAGAATTTTTGATATCTCGTTTTAACAAAGCACTAAAAACTGCAAATCGTCATGGCGGAGCTTGAAGACGTGGAACAATTTCACTGACAATGTAAAAGGAAGCTGATAGCCAGTACCATACAATCATTAATATTTATATGCACGCTAGAACAACGGGAGTGCCTAGTAAAATTGTGAATCAACATTTAGTGGAACATTTCCTCCAGACGACTGTGAATTATTTGATCAGTTGCATTTTTGTCTAATTCACATGCGTTTACAAGCTTCAGAGACTTAGAATACACGAAATAACAGATGGCAGCGCAAGACAGTTCAAGATAGTACCTTGGGCGAAGAAAGATCCATGAATTCCCCATGCCCCCAAATACAGAAACTTCATGGCTGAAACCAGAGAAGACGCCAGCCTGGCAACAACACGTTCCAAAAACAAGATTATACATGAAATATTGCTTTGCAGATCCAATAACGTTTCTATAAACATCTAACTTTTTAAAAGCCATGAATAAAAACGAATGCAATTAGTAACAAGGCTATTTTTCTCCTCTTTTTCAGAGCTTGATGTTTTTGGTTCTTGTATGTAGCCTTGGCGCAAATATTTTACAGGTAATGCGAATATCAATAAAAATTAGGCAACCTTAAGGTTGGTCTGATGCTAATGCAACAAGGGGATGTAATATTTGGCCAACCAAATAGCCCGTGTTTGTAGGTCTAATTATAAATGGTCATTGACCATCTTGGAAATTCTGAGATTCCCCTAATGGGGAGTTCTTCCGAGGTTCTGAGCCCCGTCATATCGTTTTCAAAGACGCCGCTTCTGGTGAGTCCCTGAATAACACCAAGCAGGCCTACGTTTTCCGATGATTATGCAAGGAGATTGCTCTAAAATTACCTGCTTGTAAGAGTAAGAATCGAAATATCAGAATGTAAACAAAATGTCGTTTTCTCAAGGATAATAAAAATTCAGCCTTCTAATAATAATCGCCAATAAAGAAGAACATTGAGTAACTCCCTTAAATGATTTACATAATGTGAGAAAAATCTCGCAATGAAAGGATTTAGCCGGGTTGTCCCACGTGGCCTAAGCAATTTAAACAGGAGTGATTACACTGTCTACTGGCTTTTCATGAGAAGAGAACTCATTCTTATTTACGATTTCACAACTGTTTCGTTAACATTTAGGCCGGCTTTCGACAATTCGGTTGAAAAATCACTGTTAAAAAATCACAGCTTGCACAAGACCATTGAATTTGGTGTCTAAATATGTTCGCCCAGGAATCAATAGATATTTTTAGCTCACATGAAAGCAGGTTGAAACGAACAAAAACGATGGTATTACCGTAAAAGAGAATCTTGAAGCAACAGCCAAAACAAAACGTGTCCTATCTTTCTTCAACTTTCCAAGAAACAAAAGAGTGCCTTAGGTAAGTCTAACTTACCGTAGTAATGTACAGAAAAACGCACGCTTTGTTTTGCAAATATTCAAGAAAATATAATCTTAAAAAAAATTAAGAGTCTGTAGTATAAATGTTAAACCAGTCCCTTGCTGACTATTGTGTCATAAGCAAAGTTAATAATTCCGTTCATAAAGATATGGAAATCACTAAAAGGGGTAATTTGGCATGACTGATTTAGAGTTTCAGAGTACCGTGTAAGAAAATTGCATCGCGAAAGATACGGGAAGCTTCCCGCTTTAAAGAAAAACAGTATCTTGCATTGAAATTGCTAAAAGATTAAACCATAGCTTTGTTTGGTGCTACAGAAAAAACTACCCTGGTACGAGTGCTAAAAGATTAAACCATAGCTTTGTTTGGTGCTACAGAAAAAACTACCCTGGTACGAGACCGAAACGATACGTCAGTATTAAGGCAGACCAGTTTAGCATGGGACACTGTTATCACACAAATTAACAAACTGAGATATGAATATCGGATTTATCCTATGTACGACTTTTGCCTTTAATTGACTGGGAATTTAAAATCAATCTGATTTAGTGAAAGTCTGAGTTATCTAGGGTGCGACTTAATGGGACAAAACTGTATCTGCCAAACTTTACGTCTGTGCCTCTCTCAGATTCACCATTGGCGTTTTAACTCCGCTTTCCAAGCTTGCATTTAGAGCTGAGTAACACAAAAATACATAGTTGACATACCTTTTTTGCATCCAGTATTGCACATGTCGCATCCTTCTGCCCTGTGCTCAGCGCTATTTTCTGCAAAAACTGGCTCTGTCTTGACTCTAATTGGGGCTTTGTGATTCCAAGGCTCTGAAAATGGAACAAGATACTCTTCAGTTTTAATTCAAGAAAAATTATCAACAAACCTTGGTCCTATTTCTGAAATGCTTACGATTATCAGTCAGCTACACCAATGACTTATGACGAATGGCTTCTTTTCAGAATGCACACTGTTAAACTCGCCAAAACCTTGACGCAAGGCACAAATATATAAATCAATAAACATGTGACAGTCAGATATAAATATATACTATTTTTTGTGAAAACATGATTCCTTCCTAAATTATCTATAAAACGACAGTTTCATACGAGAGTCACCACTTCTCTATAGCCACCACTAGTATGTTAAAACCATTCCTGATGATAAAGAGCTTGTATGGTTGGTAAAAACATCAAAACAAAACAAAAGCTCTGTCGTTATCCTATATGACGACCAACCTTAAACAAACACTTTTCTGTCATCTTTAAAATACACCAAATGAGTTGCTTAAACATGCCTGACTGGGAATGTACTATTGCAACACACAACTATATAGACGGCTCCACCCAGGCCCTAATATGCTAAATTCAACTTTTACAGCTTGACTCCAACACCAGAACTCTCTTGAAAGAACACCTGCCTCGCATTTGGCTATAATCTGCTAAAAGCCAACGGTCCACGTGATTTTTAGGTGCAGAAGTTTCCTTCCGAATTTGCTAATTTTAATAAAAAGAGCCCTGTATACCAGCATGTGATTTATGTTGCACTGACCTCTGGTGATGGGTTGAAATCTGCACAAGCAGTTACATAAAAACAGCCATGGTAAAGCGAGGGGATCTTATGTATTGAATACAATCATTCTTTTATAAGAATACACCTTATAAAAACACTGACGGTCAATTTGCTGAAAAGTCAATACAACGCAACAAACACGCCAAGCTCCAGATAAAGAGTAGGGAGAGAAAAAAATTAGGATTTTTATATTTTTCATATTCTAACGTTGCTTTTTCCACACATATATCCTATAAATTGTTGCTAAGACTAATAAAAAACAAATTTCCAAGACATTTTGATAGCACAGTTAATAGGCTGTGAAAAACTGGTATGTGTTTTAACATGGGAGTAAATTTTAAAAAACACATTATTTTCTTCTTACATTGTTCTTAATTTTTCTTGGAAAAAGAGCCTCAATCCTTTTATAAAATATGGTTATATCAATAGTGTGTAGCAAGTAATCAGAAACAAAATCAAGTGTTTTGAAAGATGAGCTTGGCTGGCTGCTATCAAAACAAGAATATTACATCTTGTTAAAATACCTTATCCATTACAACGTAGAAAAACTTTCACTTTGCAACAGATATTGTGATTATTCCAAGAATGCATATGATAAATTTTAAATCATAAACCGTCATTAATCCTTAAAATTAGCGTCATTACTTAAACTGTAGCCAAAATTCTAGGCATTGATTTTACCTTTATCCAATATTTTTTTCTATTTATTCATTCTCTCTATATAAGACCTAATTTGCTTATGTTCAGTTCAGTTGACTTTTTTGCCCATGTAGGATCTAATGTCTAAAATATAGTTGAAAACAAATACAGCCTGGGTTAACATTGTGATGATAATTGGCACAGAACTATATTCTATATTCAATATTCTATATTGATCATAGCTATATTTCAAGCCAAGCTTAAAGCAAGGGTTGGGTTTTTGGAATTCCCTTAATCAAAGGATCTTTGCATTCATGTTAACTGCAATGAGTTTGATCATTCCAAAACAAATTAATTGATTGATGTCTAATCTTTTCAAAAATTTGAGAAAAGGACACCATAACTGGTCTTGATGATTCTAAGCAAAAATTCTGTATTTGTTCCACCAAGTCACAAACGAAATCAGACTTTTTTAATTAAAATAAGAAACTATCTTTTTTGTTTGCATGTATACTTTGTGTATTGACTAGTTGGCTCTGACTATTTTCTGCCCTGCTGAGTAGTAAAACAAGGTAAGGGACATGATTTTAACACAAAACTATGGATTTGGAATACATGTTATCAACTCAGTTTAAAGATTGGGAAATCGCAGAAAAAATGCACTGCTACCACCTGCTCTTACACATGGATTTTGTTCCCAATGAAAAAGCCATAAAATGCTGTTAAAACTTCATAGAATGTTAGCATTTAAATGTTTTAGATTAACTATTAGTAAAGAAATCATTTTCTTGTTTAATGATTTTTTCTGTCTTCTTTGCTTCTCTGAAATAACTCATTGTGTTCTAATTTATGGAAGGCGGAACCTTATGAAAAAGGTGGAGCAAATGAAAATGGGTCACATACCATACCCTTATTCTCTGAGTGTTAACATATTCTGTATGGTTAAAATAACTTTTTCATGATCAAAAGGCCAAAAGTTTATAGAAAAGCAGGATCTCTGCTCATCTTAATTTGGGAGGAATTAATATCAATCCAAAAGTTTAAATAGTTTACTTAACAGAAAGAAAAAATCTGATACCTTGTTTATTAAAAAGTTCTCTTGTTCCCAGAAAACCCAAGAGTATTTCTAAAAATTATGCAGGTCTTACAAATTAAGTAAAATACAATTGTCATTTGATTGTTGCCCAAGAACTTCAAGGAGTATAATGACAGGCAATGAGCATCCACTGTTCTTTCTGACCACCATGATCAGTCACACAATTTAAAATCTTTGCCAAGTCCCCTTTTGCTTACTCTCAAATTATTGATCCACCACAAAAAGGCATGTTTTGAATGCTTAAACTATTGGAATAACTTGACTATTAAGTAAAAGGCATCTCTCAAAAGTTGTATGCTTAATTTCTTAAACTTCACATTAAATGCTTTTCAAAGACCCTACCCAGTTGTCATTTCATAGCATAGCGATATTTCATATTCTAACCAAAGAAGTTAACAAATTTCCATTTCTAGAAAATTATATAACACAAATGAGAAAGCTGCCTTTATTTGTATGATGCCAGGCATGGGTTACATTTGCAGTTTATACTCACAGCCAACAACATGAAAATGCACACTTTTGAGAACTATCACTGAAATCAAAGACCATCTCTAGCTATCAGTGCAAGAATTTTCACTGCATAAAGATCAAGAAACCAAAACCAATATAACAACCCCTTTTTTACAGTGGCATTCCTATAAGAACAGCTCAGTTTCAAGCTAAATGAACTATATGATAGGTTGCACATTTTCCTATGGAACAGTTTAGAGCCATATAGTGAAGAAATTGTCAGTTAGCAGGACTGGGCCTCGTGTAAGACTAAGGGACAATGTTGTTGTGTTGATGCTTGTGGATAGGGTGCATCCACTACATCAACTGAAGTGAAATTTGGTGAGACAGAGAATCACTATGCATTGAGAAGATTTTAAAATCTTGTTGTTACTAGAGAGTAATTTTCCATTCATAAAGCTGTTAAGATTGATTTCACACCCATATTCTGATACCAATTTCATGGAGAAGAAGCCTGTTCATACTGCAGTGGGATGAAGAGAAGAGTACTTCACAACAGGCTGCTTTGCTCAAGAGACTGGACAAAGATGCTTTATGTGAAAACACAGGTTTGATTCAGAATGATTCTGACTAAGCAGCATTGCAAAAAGGATGTTTGCTTATGGTTACATGACCAAACCCCTTTAAAATATTTAGGAAAAAAATTAAATTTGCTATCACTTTCATACAAACTATTCAGGGGATTTAAATTGGTGCTATGAGTCAACTAATGGAATACAGTCCTGCAACTTTTCCCAAATAATGATAAATTTTTTTGGTTAAAAGCAGGGCTGCATAAATTTTGCCTCAATTACATTACAACAAATTTTAGTCTCAACTCCCAACCACTCCAAAGAATATCTGTATGTTATTTCTTATTTTACTAACTAGAGGGGGCAATTTCCCCTACAGCCCTAGTACCCTTTTTGATTAAGACAACATACTGCTGTCCCATTATAAGAACAGAGATTTGAACTAGTAGCATATTTCCCTTAAAAAAGGCCATGATCCTCTGGATCCACCTCTCATTTAAAAAAGCTCTCAATTTCTTGCTTTCAATAATATTGGCAGAGACTTGTGCAGTGCTGGAAATGAAATTATTTTGATCGAAAATGAAATTATGCTGTAAAATGATTGACACATTATCGACTCGCATGCAGAAAATAGTATGACTGACACTGTAAATCCTGATCTTGTCTCAAGAAATTATTGCGTTCATAGAAACACGCAGAGCAGTTATCATGAGTTTATGAGTCTGAATGTAAACTTATATACATATGTACGTTTCTAGCTAGGTGGTTTGTGAAATTATATAATACTGAAGATTGATTAATCATTCTATCCTGGCGCGGTGCCACCCTCTTTTTACATATCAGCGCATAAATCAGCAAGGATTCAGGCAACAAAGAGGTCAATACTCACAATAACAAGGACATAAGCGTCGGGAACAGTTCTCTTAAAGCTCTCGTCATGCTGGGTCGCTCTACGTTTCAGAAAAGAAAGTTTGCTCACAACCAGATGTCCGAGATCGTCTTCATCGTTTTCTGCAGATGAGCTGGAGGTGGCCGATAATTCATCACTTGTCTTTATTATCGGGCGTCCTCCCGTCGTGGTAGTTAAAACCATTGCTAATGAAAGAAAAAGGAAACTTTGGCAAAGAATCCATTAACGAAAATCGACTTGCTTGGTTGTTAGGAGAGAATGCTAGGCCTATCTGGACAATGACCTAATCTGTTTAACTATTCCATGTCATTTTCCTCAAGCAGGCGTGAGATGTTTGGCTTCGGTGCCTGATTTCGAGTCAGGGAAAAAAATTTCATTCAATCGAAGAAGAAAAAAATTAAATTGCTTTCTTCTCAAAATTTCTTCACACAGCACTTTCCTGATAACAACTATTTCAGCATATTCATTTCAATTAATCATAATAATGATAAAAATCAAATAAATTAAAATCATTCATGAAAATAATTTGATCTTAATGAAATAATGTAATTAAATTGTTCCATTTTAATCAAAGCCTTAAGTACGTTGAGTTTCAGTTTTCTTTAAATTCATAAAAATGAACACTATACTATATTTTCTTTCTCATTTTTTACATAAACTGCAGATAATTTTGGCTGTTAATGAAGCATTTTAAGCATTCAAGACCATATCATAGATCTTAAGTGAAAACAATATTATCAAGATTAATTTAGAAAAAGTAATCTCAGATTTAGCAATTCTACATTAAACCGTTAGGTTAAGCACAATGTAAAAACCCATGTTAATAATTAAACCATTCTACAAATACTCTCAATATATTAAGTGAGCTGTTTACAAACCAGAACTTTTGCTAGGATATTTAAGAAGGGTGTTGCCTATTCTATTCTTATACTAAAACAAACACACAAATAGAGAAAATATTGTCAAACGCAAATTTTAGTTGTGAGTAACAATATAATTTAGCAGCTAAAAAAAAGTTTTCTTTGCCTTAAAGGTGTTTACTTTCCATCAGTTTTCCTTTCCAAAAAAATTTTACAAATAAATAACAGCTAAATCCCATTTAACAAATGTTATTAATTGAGAACTTGAGCCAGTGTTACAGGCCCTGAGCTTTTTAAACTTATTTTGCAAATAACGATATTAAAAAAATACAGAAATTTTTAAAAACTGAAGAATTGACAGTTTCCAAGATAGTAATTTTGTGGGTTATTTCGCTTCAAATTTCAAGTTAGGAATATCAAAATTTAATTTCGGCTACTTATCAATAATTCAATGATGAATTTATCAATTTTGAGGAAAACTGGGTTTAAATAATCTCACTCTATCAGACAGATATAAACTAGATTGAATTATAAATTAAGGTGGATATTGACAAATCGAGTTTAATAACATTTAATGCTAGTATTTTGCAAAGAAAAGTTTGAATGAACACCTCCAAATACATGACATTAATCAACAAATTTGGTTCTGTGAACTTGTGGACTGATCTTCCGGCGAGTGATGTTTTCAGCCCATTAGAATCTCCTAAAAAGTAGATACTTACCTCGAGACTCGTGGCCATGAAGTAGCAACTGGTTCAAAATGAAAATACACAGAAAATTTCGCATGATAAGGCAAGATATCGGCTATTTTGTCAAAAACCATGACTTAAGCGGAACGGCAGCTTCATTGTATAAATTAGATTTGATTAGAGCGCTCCTGCGCAGTAACGTTGCATTGCGCAGCTCATTGCTCCTTCACCAATTCATTTCCTTGCTTTTTGCACCAAACAAAAATAACTGAGGTGTTCTCCTCAATTTTCAACGAAGTTTTTCATGAGAAGGAATTTATTCATAAGAAGGCCCTGTTCTGAGAGATACTATAGATCTGGCTGAGCGGCCTTCATTTTGCAGTTTCATCCTCTATCATTTTACAAAAAAAACCCTATAAATAATTGTAAACATTGTAAAATCTACTCATCCCTGGCGTATAAAATGAGCTTCATATTTGTTTTCTGATGGGGGCAAGCGTGGTTCATTGGGGGCTTTTGCACCCTAGCCTTTTACTAGCACCACCTCCGAGAAGCTTATTCCAGGGAAACTTGCTTTGTCTGAAAATCCCCAGAAATCCTTTTGTTTAAGTAAGAATCTCGTGTGCTATTTGCAAGAGTGAGCTGCCCCTCTTAATTTGCAAATTTATGTGCTAGAAGTAACTAAAAGTCGTTGTATGCTTTCCATGCTGTCATTGTATGTATTTCCGTGTTACATCTTTTACTGTACGAATTCTCTCAATAATTTTAGACAGAAATAGTTCGTTCACTTTATGTAAAGTAAGTTTGGTGATAGGCAGAGGTCACAATTTGGTCAAAAGCAAGAACCAAGAAAACAAAATATTCTTTAAGTAACTTTAAACGTGAATATTTGAATTTGAAATCAGTTGTCAATAAGAGCAGACAAGTGGAATCGAAAGGCAGAAGTCCCCCAGTATCCTTCTATTGACAATCTTGTCCGATTTCGACGCAAACAGTGTATCAGAAGAGAGGTCCATTTTTCCTGGTCCCTTCCCACTCCCATATCGTAATGAAACAAAAATATTCTGTGAGCGATAAAATAACCAGCCCATTATGAACCTTGTTTGTTTGCAACACAGATTTCTATTTTCGTTAATTATCTGTTCTGTAGTTCTGTTTCAAAGTTATTGATAAGGTGTGCTTTTGCTGAGAGAGCAAAAACGTGTTTTGATCAGAGGCCACAAAGGCCTCATGCCCCAATTTTTCAGTCACATAATCTAAAAACCTATTTGCAGCTCACGGAGGTGCTTCCCTTTACCCTGCATGTGCCCTCCGTTTGGCATAAAAAATCTTCGGCAAGTCTTTTAAGCTTAACAGCTGAAGCTACTTTCTTTGAGCTTTTATATTATTGACAAGTCGGGGTTTTATGATTGTGAATACCCTGTTTTCTCCTTCCATAGATGGTCAAAGGCGTGTGAAAATAATAAGCGATAACATGTTTCGCTTCAATTGAACTGCTTATGGCACAGTACAATGGCGTTTAAAAATTAGATAGTTTCTCAAGAAACATTCATCCTTAAAAAGGATCCTAATCAAAGTTAAAAAATTTACGGGTTTCTCGGCGAGTTGAAAAAGACTGATAAACGATTTATTTGTCATTTGATTTCAGTTTCTCTCTTGGTGACACCTTTTACATGAAACAAATATCATAATGAGCTGTCCCGAACAAAGCTATCTTAGCAGCGACCGTATCAAAACTTTTAGAAAAGCTCCCCTTTTTCTGAGATAGTGCCCCACCTACCCTGGGTACCAGACTCACTATATATAAAATCTATATAGCGTATGCCCCAGTGGTACCCAGGGTATGCCCCACCCTACCTTGGCGCCACAAACTCTGAAATGCGTTCCTGTGTTTCTGACAGACTATTTACAAAAATGAATTTTTGGGTGGGGGCTTATTGAAGGGGGGGGGCTTATTCGAGGAGAGGGCGTATTCGAGGGGAGGAGCTTATTTCAAAATTTAACATTTTCCTCAAAGGTCGACATAAGAACGACATAATTTTCTCAATAAAATAAGTTGAAAAATTAAAAAAAGGCTTTTCTGCAAAGGAAGCTTAACAGTCAATAATGATTTCTTCAATGACGATCGTCGCTTTTTTGCTTTTTGGTCTCCAGTCAAAGGAAGTAATACTGTATAGCTATTGTCCTGTGGGGGCTTCTTGAAATAAGATATTATTCTGCAATTATGCTTACTTTGAATAAGCCCCATGGGGGCTTATACGAGGGGGGTTAATTGATTTTATAGGTGAGGGCTTATTCGAAGGGGGGGCTTATTTGAGCGTGGGGCTTATTCGAGGATTTACGGTATTTCAAACTCAATGTCAGAACGAGCCAAACATGAATAAATCACTTGTAACAGTTAACCTCAATGATCAAGGTAAATTTGCAACCAAAACGCTTGGGCGTATTTTCGGAATCTTCAATTATTCAAATTGGTTCGCATTAGTCTGAGACTGAACATCTGACCTTAGGTTTCAGCTGAAAAATTTCCCACCACATACTGTCTTACAAGAGTGCATACGACAAATGGTGTGATATTATTTGACATCCGATGCATTTGACTATCGCTAGAGGAGCAATGGGGCTCGGTTACTTGGAAATAAATCGCAACATTTTTCAAGCCCGCTGATATGCGTGTCATATGTTTTCCCCTGCACAAACGGGTCTTGGACCCACCCACCTCTTGAACCCCCCCCCCCCACCTCTTGAACCCACCTACCTCTTGAACCCACGAGTGTTTCCTCCCATCCACCTCCCAAGCAAGAGATGAGATGAAAAATCTCAAAGAAAATAATTGTCGGTAACATTTATAATAGTTCAAAATGTTAACATACTCCGGTCTACAGAACCTTGCAGCAGACAAAGTAAACAAATTTAATTTCGAGCAAAATATGTAGTATGCATACTCTGTTCCATAACGAGACAATAAAAACATGGTTTACTAGTGACGCAAATAAAACGAAGCACACAAAATTAAATATATGTTTGAATTCACAGGCGTTAAATACAATGACGAATAATTTACAATTGTCAGATAAAGTTAAGACCAATTCACAAGTTAATTACAAATTTACAATACACGATTCCATTTATATTGAAAATCTTGCCTTTTCAAAATTATTGATTATTCGTCCAAGGCAGTTTAGTTTGCATCTTGACTAGCAGTTCGTTATGTTTCGCACATAAGGGCATTAATAGTAACGGAGTAGTTAATTCGTAATGGCGTGTGACGTAATTTACTAAAGACGTAACATAAAGTTATTGATTATGACCTATGTAAAGGAAAAACATTATAAATTATGGTCTAGGACTCAGTTGAGAGCTTGAGCAGCCCACCATGGCAGAAAGTTTGAAGTGAGGTTAAAACTTTGAAGTGAGACTTGTTGGGTAAGCCGAGCACCTTGGGAAATCCCTATTTTTTACACTCATTACGTAATTTTCGGTATGCGGGTAGAATTTCAAAATGCATTTCTTTGCAAAGTATATTGAGGCTTTATCAACAATCATCTCCAAATTTCTATTCACAAAACACAATTGCTAGGTACTAAGTCACCCAGGGAAATGAACAATTTCTTTCAACAATTACCCTAAAAAACTAAGAGTGTCAAACTCAACATAAATGATAATATGGTTCAAAATGAGTGGTGTGAGCTTTATCTACAGAGGGTTATTTAATTGTTATCAATATAAGTTTCAATAGAAATTTAATTACTTTGCAAGCTACATTTTATTGTACCAGGATCATGGCGAGGCATGCAGGCCTTGAGTTCGACAAACCTTCCATAACTACAAATAACTCACTGCTCGATTGAACACGAAATACGATGTCAAAACATAGTCTCCAGAACACAAGTTTGTATTACCCCCCAACCAATATGCGAATATGTCGATAAATTATTAAGATATCGTGTACAATGTAGGGAAACAAATCCCAACTGGTTTCACTTCTCAAGTCTCTAAAAAGCGCCAGCACCAGTTAGTTGTAGGTTTTACAAACAGCTACTACTAGATTTTAGATCATTTCTGCTCCAATTCGTTAACTTTTAAAGAGCTCTGTAGTAGAAAAAAGGCTACTTCTTGTGTATCGGTTCTCTTTTCAAAGATAGGCTATAGTTTTCATCTTCAGAATTATAGCAAGCATTCAGCAAGAATTTTCTCATGGAAAGGCGGGATGATAACTGGTATTTCATCGCAGCGATTTGATATTGCCAAAACTGCAGCTCTGTGAAAGAACAACACAATTGGTTAAAAAAAATCACTGCAATTCTCTTGCACTACAACAGCAATTAAGTTCTTCAAATATAATATAAAGAAACGAGGGCACTTAGGCCGCACTGGGAACCGTTTGCTGATTGCAACACAATAGCGAATGAGCGATGAGATAAAAAATTTTAAACGCAAAGGCAAAAACCAGAGAGTATAAAAAAACACAAGTGTAGAATTACTAGAAACAGGAATTAAGTAGAAGGGACAGAGCTACAAAAAACATTTTTCTTTCTGGGAACCTGGGAAACAGGACAACAATTTTCCTGTTAGGTGAAGTATTGTGTACTATAGCTCTACCAATAGTATGCACAAATTGTTACGCAAGGGCTTCTAATATAATGGGTCTAGAGAAAATTTCCAATAAAATATCTAATTTGGTTGATTATTGCATCTTCTTTGTCTCTGGAGAAGATTGACTATGCAAAAAAGTAAAAATGATTTTTGAACCAAATGAGAATATGTTGACTGACTGGCAGAAAACTTCAACCATAGATGGTGTTTTCCTACTTCATGTTGCAGTTTATCTGTTAAATAAGTCCTGGACAAGGAAGTTGAAGGTTGCTTCCAAGTTTTACAATTTTTTTATATTTGAGAAAGGAGTAATAGTTTTTATAAAGGTTTCAAAAATATATGTATAAACTTTTCTTTTGTATAAACTTTTGATCTGTTTTGTAAAAATCAAAAAAATATTTTTTGCTAATGCAAAAAACAGCTGCTTTTTATCAAGTTTTGCTGAAAATTTTCTGCCAAGCCAAAAATTTTCTGGGAATCTAGTTCCCAGGTTCCGATACATTTTGCAGCTCTGAGAGGAGAATTCGCCTCTTCTGTCGTCAAGATAACTTCATTTTATAAAATTGAGGACTCACCTCATTTTAGGTAAGCATTTAGTCAAAGAATCCACTCGAACTAAGGTCATTGTATGATTCTATATAGATGCAAAATCAAATCCTATCGCAATATCTTACCTTTCTTATTAAATTTTGTTTCTTCTCCTTGTGGCTTTTCATTTCGTATTCTTTCTTCTAATTTTCGCGTCTCAGAAATATCTGTCTCCAATACTGGCAAAGCCTTAAAAACTCTCCCATCTACATTATCCGCTTCAGGCTCCTCATTCAAATCATTATCGTCACAATGCTTGGAGTCCTCAAAACTCGGGATATCGTTTTCTTCGGACACTGGAGCGCAGAGATTCTCCCTACTTGCATTCAAGTCTTCTGATGCCCGACTTGACCGCCCATTCTGTATGACAACACCACTATCATTTGAATCATTCCTGGCGTGTGTTTTCTTTACGACTATGTCATTTCTACCTGACATAAGCGTCGCAGACGATACCGGTGTTTTCTCAGATTCAGAATTCGAAGGAATAACAGGAACTGGATATGTTGTCGGTGACAAATCGTACGAAGAGGTGCTACCTACACCATGGTCCTCATATGTACAAATATCAGACAAGTCTGTTAGCTGATCTTCATTGTGATCCGACTCCTGTAAAATGCTAGATTTATCATTCTGAAGATAAGAGCACTTTTTATCTCTTGCAACCGGGCTTTGCTCAACTGTTTCTGTGTCAGAAAAAACAGGAACCTCGGGTACTTCCGGGTTTTCAAGATATTCATTTAGGGCCTCTAAGAACTCATCATCATTTCTTGATGCATTATATTTACTTCCTGTTTGGAACATAGCATTTGTCATTTTGGCTACTGATCTCCGAATACTTTCTCTCTCAAATTTATCTAACTGTCCTGCATCTTCATCTGAGATGCCTCTTTCAAAAGACAAAGACAAAGGTCTTTTCTTTGTAATGCCCTCTCCAGACATGGCACTGAAATTAACAAGTCCATTTTCTTTAGTGTCAATCGATTTCTCTCTTTGGTCGACTTCATCAACATCAGAAGCACGTGCATCTAAATTATTAAGTTTTTCAGTAACAGCAACTTTTTCAGCTGTCTCCTCTTCTTGAAATTTTTCATTTATTGAAGTATGATGATCACTACAAGACATATTGTCTTCATCTTCAGCTTCCTTTGCAGAAGCACTACATAAATCCGAAGCTTCATCTTGTCTCGGTTTGTCCTTCCCCTCGGCCTTAGTATTTTTATTAGTATTATCTGCTATCACTGCTTTCTCAAGTCGCTGTTTAGCAAGGGTTTTTCTTCTTCTCATTGCAAAGTAGGCCTGTGTTTGGGTAATTTGAGTTAGGAAGTCACCGAGAAATGGAATGCAGGGAGGATCGCTGACACTGCGAGTTAGTTCTGCTCTGTATACTGAGAAATTATCATTTTCTGACATCAAGCTTGAAAGTTCACCAAATAGCCTACAATAAAAATAAATGAGTAATTTTCACATGGACAAAGATTGGCAAATTATTTCATGTATGACCTAACGTATCCCACACTTACGCTTTGCACTGTGGGTGGGTCGCACTATACTCTGAAAGTTGAAGAATTTTTCTAAGTCCTTTTCAATAAAACCTCCAATTCTAAGCAATCATCTCCTAGCTTTTGGAATATTCGACTTGTGAACCTAAATTGTGAATTTTAATTTTACTTTCCTTTTATTTAATAATCATAGCCTTCAGACAGACAGTGTAGAAGGATAACATCAATTATTTTAACCTACATACAATTTGTGTTTTGTCATATAACCAAGGTTTATCTGAAATAAGATGTAAAACATGAATCTTATCACCCTTGACTAAAAGTTACAACGTCCTTGTTCGTGATCTTGATAAACCAATGGTGAACACGCCTTAGCAACAGTACTTGGCAACATCTTTATCATGCGTAACAAACACACGTGATAATTCACACTGTTGCCAGGGAAACATTATAGTTACAAGGTCACTAACAGCGAGGCCGGACTTCGCCGTAAAGAAAAAACAGGCCACGCCCTAAACGAAATTATTTTCTTATCTATAAGATTAGGCTCGCCAAAACACAAATTTTTATAACGAGGTTATTGGAAGATTTTCTTGACCCATTATAAATGGTATCCTACTTCGAATAGTTGCGCATCAAAGCAGTAAGGGAAGGATTTTGCATCAAATGCTAAATGGAGTATGCTGGTGTCTGGTATTAAGGATTCTTCTTGTATATCATGGGTAACAAGAAAATGTGAAATTTGTAGGCAAATTTGCAAGAAACGGGCGAACTACTGGACATGGTTCATTTGGACATATGCAATTTAGGATGGGGGAAGGGGCTAGCAGCTCAGCCAGAGTAGAGGTGGTGCTAAAGACCAAACTTCAATAACACAATCCTTATATGCTACATACCTGTGGGTGAAGGATAAACCAAACTACCGTCAGAAAAATTGCATGCATCTTAAACTGCTTTTTGGGTGAAGTTGTCGCAAAAACAGAATACCAGAAATTTGGGTGGCTTAAGACCTTCCTTGCCCCCCCCCCTCTCTGTACCATAAATACTGGTCAGAGGCATAGCCAGAGACTGTCACAAGACTTTAATTCACAGTATTCAAAACACTGGAACAATAAGAGCTTTCAGCCTAGAAGTTTTTATCTTTAGATCATTAAAAGATAGAGTTTAGTAAAATGAACGAACCGCAAGCGAGATATTGTTCTGGATGCATTAGGTGATCAGCACTTGCCTTAAAAGGGCTTTCTCGAGGTGGGCATGTATTTAGAGTTCAAAGATGAAAACTTCGAATACAAGAATAAGTAGTTTTGTAGCTAAACTTGGAAGAACTTTATTCAAATTGGCGCTTGTTAAACCAATAAATACACAAAATATGGACGGCTTCTGAATGCATTATTAGTCCGGGCTAGGTGTTTATTTCTAATATTTCCCGGAAATTATTTAAGAGGGAAGTTTACGGTGAGAGCAATGAAGCCAAAAAAGGGAAAATCATAAGCAGGTGAGAAGAAGAATATCGCTTTAAGCATGGAAAATGTTAATGTGAGGCAAAGCTTTGTTAGTATGGATCAATAATTGAAAACCGCTAAACTATCACCTTTTCCGCCTTGCTCGGACATGTTTCCAGCTTGTTTCCAGTCGGTAAATTGGTGTACACTGAAGGCCACCAAGAACAGCTTTTAAAGCATCGTAATTTTTGAACTGTCGACATTTGGCAGCGAGCTGGAATTATTTAAAGGATAAACAAACTAACAACAAAGTAATCTTTCAACAGAAGTCGAAATATATGTCATAATAGTTCTGGAATTAACTGGATCTCGCATCACTTGTCGACCGATTTCGGTATAATAGTGAAGGAAACTTTACTACATAAATTGCAGTCGAAAGATTTTAAGAAAATGATTGTCGACTTTTAAAACTTTTAACTTTTGAAAACAAAACAATCTACAAATAGTTTTTTCCCATTCATAAGCTTAATTCTGAGCCATGATAACTAGCAAAATTTTTTTAAATGTAACATTATCTGATATGACCCATCAATTCTCCATTGGCCTAACCAAAAAGGCAACCAATGTTATTATTGGAGTATAGTATTGAATACAAATATGTTGGACAAAGTCAAGTTTCGTGATGAAAATATAAAAAACATCAATCTGGCTGCCAGGATGGCTCAGTGGTTAGGTTCGCAGATAACAAATCCAAAGATAACTTTTCTTTGTACCTGATTATGCTCGAAATGTCAAATTTATATCAAACTTTCAAATGTACAAATTGTTATTGAACCATATCAATTTTTGGTATTCATTCATCTACGTACAACACGCTAAACTAAATTGATTATCAAACAGATCAAAAGATCTGTGGTTTGAGTTCTTGACATGACCAAACTTCCACCTAAAAGTGAGGAGAGTCAAAAGCTCTCTGAAATTTCAGGTGTTGGAAACACGAGGTGTGGTCACATCGAGGGAAGGACCAGGACACTGTACCATGAGCACAGCCTCGCTGTGTCCTAAACCCTATTATCGGAATCTAGGAAGTAGCAAGTGCAAAATACAAATAAAGAACTACCTTGATCATCTTTGAGATGGCTTTGGCTCTCAGATATGCAGTTTCTTCTACTAGGATACTCGTGGCAACCAACATGGCAACTCGATTAAAGAATTCAACCATATTCATAACATTTGGAGACGTGACATACTGGAAGACAAAAGATTATATTTTAACATAAAGTTACCCTTGTGCAGCACACTGGCTAATCGATTAAAGAGTAGACGTAATTAAATTTCGATATTTGTCAACAAAAGATGTGTATAAAGCCTCACAAAACACTAACGAAATATCAGGAGAGTTTGCTGAAAGTTAGTAATTCTCATATTCTAGTATTTTAACAATTTTAAATTTGTCTCTGTTTCTCAGAGCATTAACTGACGAAATAAGGATCGAAAAAGTGAAACTTGAAAATATACATCCTATTGTGGATGAAAAAAGGCCGATCAGAAATGCGAGCACGTGAAAGGTAAGTTTACCCAATCAATGCCGCATACCTAGATAAGATATTACCAATTGATCCCAAGGGTAAAAAATACCTCTTTCTGTCTCCAAAATGGCAAGTTGTTAACTTTTCGGGCACTGCCAATTATTAGAACCATCGCCATTGTAGTTTTTGGCACAATTCTAGTAAATGTTGCCCAGTGGCAGAATCACGTTTTAGTTGTTGTTTTTGATTTGCAAGACTGAGGAGGCTGTTCTCTCAGAGGGTGGGTTTTGTTTCTTATGTTAGAAGGGACATGCTGTTTTATTCTATCCTCCAGTCTTTGGGCTGTGCATCCTACGCAGCCAGAATTATACTGGCACGTAAGCCCATAAATAACAAAACTCGTATGTTTGGTAAGAACGCAATCCTTTTGAATTGACGGATGAAAGGGTCATAATAATAATAATAATAATAATCGAATGTTTTAACAGGATAACCTATCAGTACAATATATACTGTTATCATTAGGGTCCTGATACTTGATAAATCATTAGGGTCCTTGATCGTTACAAAACTTTTCTTCTTTAAAAGACAATCGCCCTCATTGATAGCTATTTGGGAATGGCTATGAAAAACAAACTACCTTATTGATAGACATCCATCCGCAGTTTGCTAATTCTTGCCACGTGATCCGAATCAGCAACTCCTTGTCAATCAAAGCAAGCTCCTCTGCAATATCTTGCACATTGAAGTCTGTGAGTTTCTGAGACAATAGATCGGCCTCTGCGGAGACGTCCGAATGGCAGCTGTTTAGACTACTGTACGATTCAGAGCTTTGGAAATTGACGTATTTGTCCTGATTTAGGCCACAAACGACAGGTGACAGAAGTTTCAATATAAATCGTCTTCCAGGTGAACAACCTACAAGGAAATTGATTATTTATCGACTGGCTTTAATAAAAACTTGTTTTCAATTCCACTTTGTTCTTATGTAGCTTGGTAAATGATGTGAGATGTTGAAAACCCTCAGGTTCAATAAGGTAAATATTGAGCTCCAATACAACTACAATTAGATATAGATATTTAAAAGAAATAAAATAAAATCAACATAGAAACGATTAAAACTGCTACTTCTACGTCATTCTTGAATTGTTTGGAAAAGGTGCTTGAACCTTTCCTAAAAATGGATTCGCTATAGTACAAACGATCCGTTGCAAAACAATGCGATACAGCAGAACATACAACAATATAATACTGTGCACTATTATACAGTCAATTGATAACAATAATAGCAAAGTGACACCAATATAACGCAACAAAAGGTGATGCAACACCAATGCAACACAATGGAATATAGTATAATATAATACAATACAATACAATACAATATCATCCAAGCAAATCAATGCAATATATGAGAAACAAAATTTTGATTATGTACAAGACTTGTTTTCTTAGAAAGAGGCATCTTCAAAGTGCCTTATATTTCAGGTATTTCAGGACAAAAGTCAGTTTTGGGAGCCTCTAAAACGAGATGCGATCTTCAAATTGCTGCAGATATGGCAACTAGTCTTGTAAACAATTTGTACATTTCTCTATATTTGGGGATTCCCTATACCACATTTCATATCATTCGATTAATTTGCTGCAAGCTGAACCTGAAACTGCAGCTGATATATTCTCTATTATGTTACTGATATCTCCAGCTTGTGCAGAACAATAAAAACTGCGCACCGCAAACCTTCTGCATCATATAAGCTAAATCTTGATCGCTGCTTCTACGTGCGATTTGCATATACAGAATACTTCAATAACAAATCTAATTTCGTTGCAATTTTGATCTTAAGCTCTTTGCATTCGCAAAGCTTTTAGAAAAGAGATCTCAATGAAAACGCTTAATCTACAAAAAATTCAAATAAAAACCAAAATTCAATTTTGATGCCAGGAAGGCGTTTTACAAAACAAAATATTTACCAACGGCGGGAAAAACAGAAGTGAGTCTTTCAATCGGAGCTTTTTTCACCGCTAACTTTAAAACCCAATTAAGATATATGAAAATTAATTATTTATCTAAGGGACATCTTTTACATAGTATCGTACAACGATTTAGCCTGCAGTGCGAAGGAAAATATTCAAACATACTTGGTTGTCTGTCATCTTTGAATGCCAGCGCAGTGTCACTCATCCGCCGTTCGAGCACCGAAGGCTGCCCCTTCGCATTACCGAGAAATTTTGCGACAACGATACTGCACGTGCTGCATGACTTTCTATTCAACGTGCCGTCGAACTCAGATATTTCTATTCCTACAAGTTGAACAGAAAATGGTTTTTGTAAGGTCACTAAAGTATTATAAAACAAGAATACTTAGAGATCTATAAGTTTAAGAAATTTTCAAGCGTAAAAACTTCTGTCCATGAAAAGGGGCAGGCATTTATTGAAGGGGTTAGCCATTAACGATAAGGGGACTGCTTCTAGTTGCACTCCTCTTTTTACCTCCAACGTTATCTATCAAGCGGAGATTCGTGCATTCAATGGAATTTCTTCCCTTTTCGGTTGTGTTTGTTGAATAACTAGATTTTTTCCTCTGTTTTTTCTACTAAACCGGGGTTAAACAAAACAGTGTGAGCACGGGTTTTCAAATAAACTGCTTTAACTGCAGAAAAGCGAGGCATAACAAATTGTTCTCTTAAAGTACTGGTTAGTAGGCCTAGACACCCTTGGCCGTGGTGTTGCTCTTCTTCTTGCTGCAGAAAAGCTTCAGAGACTTTCTAATCAGAGAACAGTATGGGCGTGGCTGGTTTGTGTGCTCCTATGACCATAATGGGTTACTAAATAAGGAATCAAAACCATCCAATATCCTATACAAACTACCTAAAGGGAAATATCTTGCTGAAACAGACCAAAATCCTCAGATACGATGACTCGGCAACCCAGAAACTTGACCGCATATTCGGAACATTTTGACAGAATACAAGGACAATTCACCAGCATATGGCGACATGCCAAACAACACCCTCTTACACAAGACATCAAAACACCACTTTGGTAAAAGCATAATTGGTAAGCGGAACTTATAAAAACAGGAACAACTTGCAGTCTGCAGGTACCACAAGGAAGCAAAAAGGGACGGTCTGGGTTTGAATACGATAACGAAACTCGCAAAATATTTTTGTTCTACCGATTTAAGTTGTACCAAATTCGTAAAAACAGATAGATGAGTTCAATTCGAAATATACAATTCTTTGAAAATATACACAATTCTTTGAATATGAATACCTGTAATCACTTGTATCTGACAAAATTTAATAGATTCTGAAGTAACATGCCGTAACCACAGAGTTAAAGACAAGACAAACCCTCTAAGAGTAAAAAGGGTGAAGACAGGGGCTACATGATTGTAAAGAAAGTTTAGATGGAAAATAGATATGGGGAGGAATTTCTCATATATATTTTCATGCTAGCGAGAATTGGTATACTCTTTTTTTAAGAACAATTTTATAAGAACACGAGCGTCAAAATTGGTCAAAAGTTAAGAACAAATTAAGAACAAGCTGCGGCTGAGCTTCTACAATCGAGAATTTTAGCCACGTGGGGGTGCTTTTCGGTGGATATTCAAACCTGTTGGCAAATGAAGGTTGTCTCACTCACTTTGTTGGCAAATAAGCCTGACTACCTCCCTAGAATGAAAAAGCTAGCACTCGAACTGTTAAATTAAGACCCTGTTAAATTAAGAACAAATTAAGAACAATCCAGCCTCAGATTTTCAAAAAAATTAAGAACAGTCAGCCTGAACTTAAATTTATTGGTTCTTATAAAAAAAGAGTGTATTCGAATTTTGAAAATGAGACCTCAAACTATGAAAAAACATACAGCAACGACCATTGTGAAAATTTCTCACTAGAAAAATTGGTCATAGATGCAAACAAAGACACCGAGACACGATATAAACCGACTTTTAATAATAGTTTATTATATGAAAGCTAGAACAGACCCTAAAATTCTTTATTATTTGCAGGAAAGTCTAATCTGAAAAATATTAAACTGCTAATTACTGACATACGCAAAGCCTAGAGCTACTACTGTCATGGGTCTATCTAAGCACTTTGGTCAATACTTTCTTCCAACCTTCTACATCTATAAAGTTGAAATCCTGCAGGAACCACTAGGCGATAATACCGCCAACTCACGACAAAAATGATCTAATATTAGCAATGAAATCAGATAAAAATCTTATGATCCAAGCTTATTATGAGGACAAGAACTTTAAATTAATCCCGAGAACCTTAACCTGATTATCTCAGCTCTACGCATCGGCCCAAGCTGAGTCCATCTGCTACGACGGCTCTTCCAATCTCAAACTTCAACATAAGACGTGAAATGGAAAGCATATCAACAGCGGATTATACTATAAACGGCAATCTAAAAGGATATTGCATTTCAAAGCACCTGCGAGCATGGCTGAGAGAAGATTCGGCAATTGAAGCTGGGAACGGTTTCTTTCTTTGACGGTTAGAGTAGGGACGCGCTATGACAGGTACATTTATGAAGTTCGTAATAAGCGGGGTTCGCAATAGTAGGATTCAACTGTATATTCTAATAATGGTGGGTAAGGCTTCCTAAGCGCTTGAAGACCAGCGACACTGCCCCCATGTCTGCCTTCCGCTTGGCTGCGCTAGTCTATTCTCAAAGGTGGCGCCAGAAATCTTCCGACAGAGGGGTTGGAGCTTCCGACAGGGGGGCTAAAATGACTAAAATAAGCAGTTTTCGTACGTTATTTTGTCAAATTTGCTCCGACAATAACCTAAAATTTCCTCCGATGCTTCCGACGGAGGGACTGTAGCCCACCCCTAGCCCTCCCCTGGCGCCACCACCGCTACTTCTTCAAACTGACTGATGAGGCCAACAATGAGCGAGAAACTTGGATTCTTAACAAAAACTGTCACCGTAACTATCCCTAACGAACGACAGCAGCCGGTTTGGGGTAGTGTTAATTCTACCAATAACGGAAAACAGTTGCAAAATGAAGAACTTTGGCAAGATTAAAATGGGCGTTGTCAAAGCCTCCCCAATTTCTTTAATTTAAACGCTAACTGTCCCTCACATTTCCTAAAATAAATTATATGTTCCCCTAATACACTCCTTTTCTGTAAAAACATAGTTTATAAGAATATTGAGGCTCACAATCATCAAATTTTAAAAAATGTAATAAGAATATTGCCCGGCTTCAGTTCGCATAATTGTGTCTCATTTTTTCAGCAGTTGCCTGTTTCACAATGTTCACAAAACGGAATCGCAGAACTGACATATGTCGTTTCACAAGAATGTCTGTCATATGTTTTTTTATTCGAGAACGGACGATGTTCCCCTGAAACCATATCAGATTATAAAAAGTAAGAATACTTTGAGAATACATTCAGGCTCAAAATGAGAATTTCATAAGAATATCTACAATGCCTGCCAAAAGTCCTTGGAACACCCTGAGATTCCCCCTTCCCTTCATACAATGTTGATTCGTTAGCTGAAAACCATAGCTATGTAAAAATGTATCACTTGTACATGTAGGATTATTCATATTTCCGTGGCACAACATTGTACAAGGGGGGAGGGGATGTTGCAGCTCGTGCACAACGTAAAGTGTTTCAAGACATTTGGCAGGCATTGTAAGCTGGAAAAATTTATAAAACATGATTGTAGTAGCCCTAATGAAAAAGAGGCCACCACTAGCACTGTATAATGACAGCCATATTGATGAAAAAGATGAATGAATTGGACAGTATCCTGCTGATCACAACGTCAAAGCTTAAATAGTATTGAAAAACTACCAGTAAGGCATTGTTTTATCAGAAAAATGCGTGGGATGCGAGCACAGAACATATAAGTATCTGGATTGTAAAGGCGCGATTTCTGAAGCGAATTCTCAAAAGAAAACAGGATTTGTGAGAAGCTAGATTGAGAAGTATTCAAAATGTGGCAGAATGAAAAACTAAACACCATAGATATCTATACAAATTCGTATGTTAAACAAAAAAGATGTCAAATTCAGCAGTAACTGAAATTGAAACAAATAGATTTAGAAAGATATGAAAAACGAAAAATTGAATGGTTATAATTGTTTTTGACACATCAGAACTGACTCTCCAATGACAGACAAATAAAGATTGCTCAATAAAGAATTGTTGGCACTAACAATTATGAAACGCTGTCAATCTAAGATCATAATATGGTGGAAACTGGTAATCGTAAAGAAAGTTTTTAAGTATTCAAACCAAAAGCAGATGACATTTCATATAGATTTATAAAGAATGCAGCAAATATTGAGGTTATCACTGTAGGTAATGAGCAGAACCTTCTTAAGAACCCTCCTAAGAACAAGCAAGACAGTCTTCTTGTTTCTCTGTTTTCACAATGACGGTGTAATAAAAGAACTGTAAATATCGCTTTGTAATGCAAAGAGTGGTGGGGAGATGTTCTTTGAAAGTAATCTTAGGAAAAAATCCCAATTTTTCTTTATGCCAAGTATTTGATAAAAAAAACAAAATTTGCTCTTTGTGACCAACTGCCATTAAATACTCAAAACATTTCCATCATCAGATGAAAAATTAGAAGAAGAAGCAATGTTTTTCTAGAATTTTTCTCTGATGTTAAAAAACTGAGCAGATTTTGTCAGTAAATCAACCATGCAACCACAAATGACTTGCAAAACTGTTGTTTAGAGGTCTTAGAAACAATATATAGTATGAATATGTAGAAAAATGAATCATGAACAACCCAAGCCTTAAACCATAAAAATATAAGAACATCTGGTTCTTAAAAACAAGAGAGTGACTGAGTCTTGAGGAAAGAAAATGATAAGAAGTCAATTGAAAAGCTTAGTGATATTTCTGTTAAGATCATTCTCCAACAAAGAATGCAAAGAATGGTGGAATGAATGAAATATGCTTGCATAAGCAGTCACAGAATAGATTCCACCAACACAACGAAGGACATCATTATGCAATGATGGCCCATCTTAACTTTGTGCAAATAAGCAACATAAATAATTAATCATATACCTAATAATCATAAAAATCTGCTAGATCAAACCTTTCCAAGATCAAGAACACAGTTCTTTGTTATCTAGATGAGTGTTTGCACAATAGGCACCATATGGTAGGTGAGAAAAAAAGGCAAATACAGAATTCATTATCATTGGAAAGTAGCCTTTTAACTCGACTGGCCTCCCTACATGCTAACAGCCATCAAGTTGTAACAAATCATCATTTTTCATTGAAAGAGCATACAAATTATTTGAAAAATCCAAAAGATGCTTTTCATGCCTGATTTTTATATAAACAAGGATAATACAGCTCCAAGTGGGAACTCAAAAAAGAGATAATGTTTATGTCTATGTGTAGCCTGCTGTGTTTCAAAATAATTTAAAAATCACCACACAGTTTAAGGTTGACTATTTCTCACACATCACAGTGTTGTATATAAACAAAATAAATTCTAAGGAAGAGCACATACCAGTCATTGGGTTTTAATACCAGTGATTATAAACATAGAGAGACCCAAAAGGCACCCTTGTGGTCTAATCATTTATTGCCAAGTTTACCATGAATGAACAATTTTGGTCCATATTTCAACAATTTGAATCCATTTATGACAATTGAGTTAAATAAGATCAAACCAAACATAGTAACATTAATTGAAAGGGGAAATAAAAAACTAATATTTTTGGTCATTATCCAGGACAATATCTACAAATTCAAACAAAAGACGATACAATGGGTTTGACTTTTTTGCCTAGAGTCCTTTTGAGATAACATCATATTTTTGGTTAAATTATCTGGTAGAGTTTTGGTAGACAAAACTACGTAAATAGACTTAAATGCAAAATAGATGAATAAATACCTTCTTCCACTTTTGGGAGTGAGCACATTGAACAAGAATTCTTCTTCACAGATGCAGTCAAACTTTGTGATCTCTTTCTTGCATTATTGATAAAAGTCTTCTTTCCTTGGCTGCTTGGCTTTGCAAAAGTGTTTACAGATGGGCTTCTGGGACAAGATGCTTTCTCTTGCTCAACAGTGTCTGCATTTAGAGCTGTATCTGATGGTGCTCTCTCAATTGGAAAAGGTCTGGGTATTTTATGTTGCATTGTACCAAGAGGCCTTTCACTCTTTTTCCTCATGAACCTTTTAATTGCCTTCTTGTTTGGCAGTTTTAATGCATTCAGAAATTGTGGAATAGTTGTTCTCCTTTTCTTACCTTTGTCAGCAGGATTTGCACTGACTAAAACTTCCACCATTCTTTTGTTGCTTAGGATAGGTGGTGCTGCAAGCCTGATATCATCATCTTCCAAGGTGTATTCTGGACTTGTGCCAGGTTTGGCAAAGTCCAACTGGGGGTCAGCCAGTGACTCCTGACTGCTATCAAACGGAAACTGATATGCACATCCTTCACTTGGTTCACCTGGATCACTCTTCTGTCTATCTGCATCACTTAAAGTTCTTCTCCTTGGATGTGAATCAAATGAGAGCTTTCTTCTTAAAGACCTAGCAGCACCAATTGACCTCCTTGTGGTTATTCCTCTTATCAGTTCTTGGAAATGTTTCTTTGCATCATTTTTTCTGTTAAACTCAACATTACTTGGTTGAGCTCGCAAGCATGCAATATCCTCTTCAATTTTTGCTTCTTCTTCGTTTCTCGCATGTGAAACTTCATCTTTCAAATTATTGCAGGAAAGAACGTAGCTGACATCAGAGCTATCAAAATTTACCAGCAGGTCGGGGTTTTGATCTGGTGCATAGAGAGACACGGACCTTCGTCCTATCTTTCGCGACCGACATTTTAACCTCATTGGATTGAATCCATATTCCTCGTCTGGGGTAACATAAATTTCGTCAAGTTCTAATTTTATCTGCTCTAATTTGCCCTGACAAGGTAAAGATGGTGCTCTTCTATGTTTCGGCTCGAAAAAATTGTCTGGCATGGAACCTCTGGGCCAATCCAAACTCTTTGAGAGTGTCTCCCCCTCAGGAAATCCGCTATCAGTCAAATTTTCTTCTGTTGTGATTATATCCCCTGCATGATCTATTAGAGAAATCGGCCATAATGCAGACAAGGTCTGGCCAAGATTCAAAATAGGTCTGATGCTCTTTCGAATGTCTTCGTACTCGTCGTCGCCAAGCTCATCGCCATCAGTTTCTGAGTCGCTTGAGACATAATTCCTTTCGTTTTCGTCTTCGAAATCCCTTTCATTATACCCTGATTCCATTTTGCGAAAAATTTTAATTCTAAATTGTGGCTACGAGTGGCAATCAGTTTTCAAGTGTTCAAGATTATGTTGTCCCTCTCGATGCCTTACAGGACACGACACGTTATCAATAACAACCGGACCGCCAAGTGAAATAAGCGTCTATTTTCTATTCGAAATCCAAAAATAAAAATATTCAGAACCGCCTTGGTAGCTGAAATATGTACCCTTCACATTCACAGTTTCTAGATTGGATTGTCTGATACTCCAGCACACAGTTTCGACTCATTTATAGACAGAAAACTAGGCGCGCAAAATGCCAAAAAATTCACTCACGGTCCCTTATTAAAACTTGCTTGATACAAGTTACTGTGATGTGCTTTCAATTGTGAAATGAATCCTGATCCATGCTTTTCATAAAAACAATTATCATTCATTCAGTTGATCCTGTCACTTTTTCGTCGTAAGTTTTATATTGTTTCCAAAAATATACACACGCCACCAACAGGAAAAGAGTGTTTGGGCCTAGTCACATCAGAGGTGTGTGTTGACCATACGACGTTGATTCCCAGTATTTTCACTCCATTGACATAAAAAGTGGATTCATCTTTGCCTGATTAACCACTCGTGATGTGGCTTATTCTGTCATTACCACATTTCAGCATAGATCTCTCCATACTTGCCATTGGTGGGAGGGTCATGATCACAAAACATGACTAAAACCGCACTATTTTCTTTTTGTGTTGTACTTCTGCCAAGTCCACTACAATGTCATCCTTCTACAGATGATAATCAAACTAGATCCTAGGCCCCCTCCTTATCAAAAATATCAGTCAGACATATGACATTTAGCAAGAAAGACTTCTCACATCTATTTTATTGGTCAAGTTAATGAAATTCAAAATGGTAGATAGCCAGGTGCTCAAAGCATCCCGCCCCTTTGTGTGTCACAAGGAGGGGTTCCGGCATTTATTACGAAGAGTTTGGATTAAGAGTGACGCAATAAAAATCAATTTGAGAAATTTGTTACCGATACCGACGTCACAACAACTCTTATCACCAAAATTAGCCGGGTGACAGATATGGTTCAGTCCTCAGCACAACGAACCATAATTAATTGTCAAATAAGGAGTGATTTAAAGGTTTCACTTGGGATTTTTCTGAAATGTCCTTATCTCCTGCTTTTCGGAAATTATTCTCAGTTTCTTTATCATGTATTCATAAATACCACCATTTCCATTCGATAACAATTGCCTAAGGGGCTAGGATCACTGATCCTTACCTTTCAATCAATCAAACAATTTCAGGTACAGTGTTCGTGGCTATTTGACCTAGTCGTTAGACCCGTCGTTGGATATTACCGGAAAATTCTTATTTCAATAGAACAGCATTCCAGATGGAGGATCTAGCCACAAGCGTGAACCAAAATGGGGAAGGTCCCGGGACCGCGTACCAGTCTAAAACTGCAGGTGCTGAAATGGGCGTGCCCGAAAATTTTTTGAGGCCACGCCTTCTAGAACGCCGGAAAACGTCCCTTTTAGAAAATACTTGCTTAATTCTATCAAATTTTTATAAACAGTCTGGTTCAGAGAAGATATCAATGACTTGACAAATAGCTAAAATTAGCTTGATGGTAGTAAAACACCAAGCTAACCAAGTTAGAAAAATACATCATATCTTTAAAGAGGATAGCACATCTAGAGAATGAATAAAAATGGTTCCCAATCAAGAAAAACTGCCACTACATAGAGGTAAACTATCCAAAGTTGTGTTAGAGTAAGCCTTCGAATAAATTTTCTAGCCTATTATTGCAAAAAGTGGGGGGCTATAGCCCCTGCTAGCCCCAGCAAGGTACATGGGAAGGTCTTAATGTTCACCCATAATTTCCACCGGATAAATTCCTACCCTCACCCATGTTCCCAAGACCCTTGGCAGCTCACACACAACAATTAGGCTAATTACATAATGTTCCTGGATGTTCGTTGTTGATTTCTGGCCTTTAACATTTTTAACCGATTTCATAATTGCCAAGTTGTCAAAAATTGTCAAAAAAGCGTTTTTGTTCCGCTTCGGCTGTAATGTTTGCTAAAACAGAAACACCTTTAAAAACTCTTGAAAAGATCAGATACTTTGCTAAAACCTTGAACAGATACTTCCCCGATAACTCGAGCCCCCGATAACTCGAAATCCAGATAACTCGAAACCTGGATGTTTCGAGACCTGGATTATTCAAACTTTTTTACTTCCTTTTTTAACCTTCGCCAATACCTTCGAACCCACGTTGATTCAAACCGGAGCTTGCGATGTTATACTGTTTATACCTAAAGATTCCATAGCCAGGTTGCCAGATTTGTTGCGCGCTGACTACCTGTTGTTGGCTACAGGTATCTACCTTGTATAGGCTAAGCAATGCAAGCGGCTCAATTTATTGAAAAATACCCGAAACATCTCCTGCAAATTGATTATGGCTTCTTAAGGCAGGTTCTGGCTCCATTGTTACCTGCTAAGCTAACAAACTTTCTAAGTGGGAATTCACTGAATGCATAAGTGCATGAATAGATATATTAATATTTTCCTGTGCTGCCCGTTAGCGATTTTAACCAACTATGTTTTGGTTCTGTTGAAGTACCAAGTGCCAATAAGCTAGGCAACCCCCCCCCCCCCCTCCCCTCACGTTTCAAGTAGGGCCACTGAGAGCCAGCTCGGGTCCAAAAGTAAAGCTATATATAGGAACTTAATTTTCATGGCCCTGGAGATTTCATCCCACCAACACCCTACGACGCCGCTGATTTCCAGACGGTAAGATATGCTATGTGATTTCCAGACGGTAAGATAATGCTATGTAGTTTGCTGTTTTTATCCTTATCGAACCTTTCTCGTCATTGTGTCACATTCAATGCAATCAGAATCACAAGGAAAAAGTCTGACAAGAATGTTTTATGTTTTGAAATACATAGATTACAAAGTTTCGAGTAAGGGTTTCCCTTGTTTGATATCTTCACTTTCGGGCCATCATGAATTCCACATGCATAGTAAGACTCTATTTAAAAAGATACAGGAAGCTGTCTCCTCTCCATTCAGAAGGAATATTCCATCTACACTCAGAGCCCGTGCCACTGATTCTAAACTGGAGGGGCCATCTCTTTAAAGAAAGTATCTTCTTACCACCTCTAGCATTGTAGCAATGGTTTGGCTTACGCTGTTTTAAGTGTGGACTTTGGTTCAATATATTTGTAATAATCTGCAGGTTTATCTACATAAATGATTTGAGCTGATTTGAATCTTTTATTAAGTAAAAAAGTGAGGACTCCCTGCCCCAGTGGCGGCGCCAAGGGGTGGTATGAGGAGGGAGGGGGGGGGGTAATTACCTCCCCACTTTTGTCGAAACATGGTCTACATATTTCGTCTAAAAACGGATTAAAAAGCACTAGGTAGGGATAGGTCAAATTTCCTAAGGAAATTTGACCTGAAACAAAGCACTGAAACGAGGCCAATAGGGCGTGGTCTCACGGGTAACACCCATTACCCTCCCACTCTGCAGCAGCTGGCGCCGCCACTGCCCTGCCCCCTCTCTGTGGCGTTGGCCATGACTCTCCCGTACCGCGCCTGATAAGAGGGGTGTTGTAGAAAGTGGGGTTGATAAGGGTTCTGACAGGAAGAAATCGTGCAAATTGTGATAAAAGCAGGAAACTTAGCAAACCTACACAAATTGATATTCTGAAAAAGACAGACATGGTCCTACACCTCACAAATACCATTTTTAGACACGTGCAATCTCAACGGTATCATAGTAACCTCCAGATGTGCAGTTAGCTATACAGCCACGAAACATGGTAAACCTGCAGACTTTGATATGCTGAAATAGGTTATAGTTTTAAGCGGTGTCCTAGTTCGAAGATACCCTTTGTGATATTTTCAAAGTGAAGGCCATCATGTCATGCCCTAGAGGACTAGAACTTTCGAGAAATGCGCCAAGCTAATGAAATAACTTACATATACAGATACTTATGTATATGCAGCAAGCTTCAGCTACAAATCATGTGCATGGGCATGGCAGATCAGCTCTCTTGCATTGACATTTCGCTGATGAGCATTCTGGAGTTGCAATGCTTCAATTCGTTGATCATTTTCCAGCCCCATATCGTAGTATCAGGCAGCCTTTTGTATTTTTTGGCAGTCCCCAAGACTTACCTAGAATCAGAGGTGGCGCCAGAAATCTTACGACAGAGGGGCTGGAGCTTCCGACAGGGGGGCTAAAATGACTAAAATAAGCAGTTTTCGTACGTTATTTTGTCAATTTGCTCCGACAATAATCCAAAATTTCCTCCGATGGGGGGCTAGATGCTTCCGACGGAGGGGTTGTAGCCCCCCTAGCCCTCCCCTGGCGCCACCACTGCCTAGAATTAATATGCATCGCACTAAAAAGGAACGGGTTATAAAAGTCAATAAAAGCATCTTCGATGTCCTATCTACTTTTGACACTTTTGCGTGTCAGTTACCAAGCAGAAAGCTAAAATCATTTATTAATGCATGCAGTCGTGGACTTTAGCTTACTACAGAATCATGAACATAGATCAATTGAATGATTTAAACAGCTGTCCCTTCGAAGATTTGTAATGAGCATTCAAATAAGAAAAAGACAGTGCGAGGTCAATTGGTTTAGAATTCTTGGTGAAAAGGTATCGTCCACAAAAAGCGGGGTTCATTAGGGTCATGGCAGGTAGTAATGCTGCTAAAGTGATCTTTTGGAAACAACGATTGAAGTGATGAATAAAACGTTAGCATTTTTGTATAAATCTAATGAATTTTTTATTGAAAAGCTGAAGAAACATTTAGGAGAAATTCTAAAAGAAGCTGTGAAATTCATAAACTACATCTTTTAATCAATGTTGAGCAATAATTTACTAGATGGTTTGATAGAACCACTGATTTAAAACCTACAGAATTTAAACAAATATTAGCAAAAAATATGCAAAAAAGGAATTGTAACTTGGTCACAGCAGTTGGTTCAGTTTAATATTTCAAACCATATAAGTATTTCAAACGATATTTCTGTATTATTGATATTTGATTCATTGATCATTGCTGACTGTAGACTTGCTCCAGGTCAATTTCGTGCTTGAGAGAGGAGTATTTGTTACCCTCCTGTGGACTTCTGCGAAGGAGACGGACGGCAGGGAGGGGATGCTGACTGTGACTGGTTTGTCAACTTTCTTTTCCTCATTTTGTGGATTCTTTCTGTCAGGGGTTAAGTACTGTTCTGAATAAATTTAGTTTATTTATGTTACTGACGTCACACAATATCTGTAGTTTATTTATGAGATGATTATGAATGGCTTCCAGAACATTGAAAGAAATGTATCAAACAAAGAAGAACATGCCACACACCCTTAACAAATCAGAACCCACATAGGTCATACGGTTGCTGGGCGCGAAACTACGCATCAAGTACAAAAGGAGTGTAGTACAACGTCCAACCCCTATGTTGCATTTTATGAAACGATTTTTATGATCTCGAGGAAAATTATGTGGACAAATGATGAATACTTTCCATAAGGATTTTTGTAGAGTTCAAGCGATAATTTTACGTTATATGTTTATCAAGAATAAATCCGATCTTAATTGTTTTTACCAATTCACCAATAAAGTAAGCAGCATCACCATAAAATTTCAAGAATGAGAAAGGGCCTGTATTTTGATTTAATTCAAAAGTTGTATATAGACTATTTTGTCATGCATATAAACTGGGGAATACATTTGGTGTAAAGAACAGGATGGTTCTAAGGCGCAACGCAAGGATTCACGCTAAACGCGATCATTAAACTTTCCCTTTTTGAACCGAGCCCTGCGAAACATCTTGCAATAATTAGGCTGTTTCAATCAAAACAATTAAAGGAGAAGGCGAGGACTCCTGTTTCCAAAAACTGAAGTAGAAGTTCGATGAAGATGTTACCAGATATCATGATACCAGAATCAGGTAACCCCTTCAGAAGGTATTGAACTAGTTATAATACACTTTTCTGAATTTTCACACAGCAATGTCTTTTCGCGTACCTTTGTCCAAGTATAAAATGTTTTCTACCCAAAAGAAAATATTTCATACTTCTAAATCGTCAAAATTTATACAAAGAAATTCGAGGCTGCATCGGTATTATTGCCACTTCATATCAGATTGTTGCGTTCACTTCACACACCCAAGAAATCAAACAAGCTCCCATACCACCGCTAGGGGGACGGGAAAATAACTCCAAAAAAATAATACGCCCTGTTGTAGAGAGAAGAGGATGCCAACCTGATACCAACAGCAATCTGATAAACAATGAATCCGTTATTGTACCATTCACAATCAATATCGGCGAATCAAGATCGTGCAAAAAGGTCAAAGTTCATTATGTAAAGTCAAGAAGGTCACCAAAGAGGTCAAAGTTCAAAAATGACACGGTCGGTACAAGAAACCAATATACAGTGATATTCTAGCGATGAAAGTTTCAACATATTTTCTCTGGTGACAAGGAGATTAAGTAAAACTTTACAGTTTATGTTCTGTTAAAAGATATCGCATTAAGACAAATATTAGTCTATGTTTATTAACATAGTTAGTACTCCAAATTTTTCTATAGCAGCCAGCATTGTTTTCCAGCATTTTGAATCAAAAAATATTTATATCATTTTACATAGCGCAGTATATGACATTATCAGGGCAAGACCGGGGTAGAATGATGTACCAGCACATAATTAATCTCAAACCATAATTGTAATGAAGAGGCTCTTTGTCTAATTTGTTTAATAGAAACTTTAATAAGTTATTTCATAATAGACAGTGAAACCAAACACCATTATAGCAAAGAGGATTCTCCAGATCATCTAGAATCTGACTTTTGAAAGAGGTCTTACTTCGAATGTAAAACGTTAAAACAAATTGAGAATGTTTAGGCCCTAAGCTTCTCATACGTGCAATTAGTATCTTTCGTAAATTGAGTTACTCGAAACCTGATTGAGTTACTTTAAAGAAAGTAAAGACTATTTTACTGCTAATAGAATTAAGTTAATGGCTACCAGGCTGTTGTTGCTCATGTTGTTGCTGCTGCTGCTGCTCATGATGCTGTGGTTGTTGCTGTGTCTGTTGTTGCTGTTGCTCGTTATGTTGCTGTTGCTGCTGATCATGTTGCTGCTGCTGCTGCTTTGGTTGTTCATGGTGTTGCTGCTGAGCCTGTTCCTGTTTGGCGTGATGTTCGTCCTTTTTTTCCTCAACATGAACCTCCTCTGGCTTTTCATGGTGTTCATCGCTTTCGTGTTCATTGTTTTCACCATGATGTCCCTTTTAAAGAAGACACAAAATTTCCAAAATAAAGACAACAAACCTAGGTTACTCTGGTGATAGATCTCTGAAGGCTGATCACATTCGAACTTTGTACAAAATTAAAAAATACAACGAGCAGATTTTATCAAATCACTCTCGGTAAAAAAATATTATTATCCTTCATTGTAGAACTTTAAGGTTACGGTAAACGTTTTGAACACGAAAATTGGTTTTTCCTTCCTAAAGGCCAAACGGCTCAAGGAATCTGGATAAACTATATATCATTCGATGCACAAGATTATGGCGTATCTAGCCAGATAAAAAGTATTGGCAAATAATGTTAAATGTTATTTTCCATGCGAATTTACTGGTCAAAGAGTGTACCACCTTCAAAAGCTATTATGTACCCTTGCGTTTGAGGTAACAAAATCTGACTTAGACCAGCAGGAAGTGCAGGTCCTAAGCTACCAAAGTGTGTCTCAGATTTTTTAAATTCCTCCTCTTCTTGAAACTATACCCTGTCAAAAATTGGCAAATAATTTGTCCACCCTCCCGCAGCTGTATTTGGGTATAAAAGACGGACCAGAGAAAATAAAAAAATTTTGAGACACACTTTGTTTGCCCAACGTCTGCCCTGGCCGTGTGCAAATTTTCGAGCCATTCGATTGGTTCCTTGGGTACATAATAGCTTTTTCGTACCTGCATGTAGAGGAATTTCGAGTCCGGAGAAAACGGGATTTTGCTGGTCGCACTTGCAAGATACACTCGTAAACCACAGTGTAATCCGGGTCAAGTCACTTGAAGATTTAAGATCAATAAGCCTGTTTAAATAAACACGGCCGTACATTGGATATATGGATGTGCCATGCGATATTGTAAATGAGACATGCGACCACAACCGCAAAGCAACGATAATCGGCTTAACAGGTCAAGAGATTTTCAGGCCTCAACTAAAAGTTTTGCTAAAGAAATTATGGAAACCTTCGTTAACATGGAATTTTTTCCACTTTCAAAATTTCTGTTTGTTTCAAATTTGGTATCATTGTGCGCCTTGAAAGTTCGGCTACTTGAATGTGAAAAAATCGAAAAAATGATGTTTTCATCCAGAAAACGTTTACCGTAACCTTAAGTTAGCTTTTCAATCGACGTTTGATGCCTTTCCCAATATTTTCTAAAAATTGCTTTCAAAAAACTTTTTCTTTTGTTGGAAGGAACCTGTTTTATTATATTTCCCAATCTTTGAGTTTTGCATACTACGTAGCCAGAATCACATTGGCACGTGAACTCATCAATGACTGAATTCTTTCGGTTGATAGAAACACAATAATTCTAAATGGAAGAAAGAGCTTTTCTCGTATTGTAAACAATACGAGTATTGACATTAAATCAAGCTTCATAATGTCTAAAAACGTTTGAATTTCATACCACCAAAAATTGTTTAAAATAATTAAAACGCCCAACCACCCTCATAAATTAAGTCTCCTTTTAAACGAAAAGCTAAAGTACATCTCACATTTGAAACCCAAAGTCCAATCAAAAGTCTCGATTCTCGAGAATGCTTTTATTGGGCCTGTCAAATCTTCCAAATGAAATGTGTGAAAAAGCCTCACCTCTCTGTTGCGTTCAGCCTCCTCTTCTAATTGTTTCTCATATTCCTTTAACTCATCTTCACTATACTCTTCATCATCTACAACTGGCTTCCATTCGTCATCTTTTTCGAATTCTGGATCATTTGTCGACTTGATAAATTCTTCTTTTGAAACGAGACCGTCATTATCTTTGTCCATCTGAAGAAGATCATGATAAAATAAGCCTTTTGGATCGCAAGACATCAAGATTGCACCAACCCGCCGAGAATAGGGGTAGGGGGTAGAATGCATTCAAATGCCCCAGGCTCTGAACTAAGAGGGGTCGCAAAAAATTATTTGTCAAACAAGGTTCCAAAAAAATAAAAATAAAAATAACAATCACAGCTTTCATGACGTCATCACGAGTGCCATCATCTATTTCGCCCTAGGTCCCAGAAAAGCTATAGGGCGGTCCTGAATTACACAATAAGCAGCAATCTGTTTTTGACTGATGCTCTTTGGGGTATAAAACCAAAGTCGAATGGACATTAAATCTTATTAAAAAGGGGATCTATCAAAAAACGCAGACTTGAGGTCTTCGTGAAAATATACTGATTGTTTTATTTTAATGAGTTTTTTTATAGCTGAAAAATTATGGATAGAAAATGGTTGAAAGAGATTTTATAACTTGAGAAGCAACAGGTTGAAATTGTTCACCCGTTCTGTAATTAAATCTTGTTATTTAATCTATAAACTCGATTGAAATATTTTATTGCACTGGGAATTTACCAATAGAAATGGTTCTAGCAACACGTGTTTGCAATATAGCGATATTTGCTTGATAGTGTAAACAAAAAAGATTGTATTTCGGCTTCGTGAGTGTGAAAACATTCTATTCCAACACCTGTCATATCGTAATTAAAAAGCATTGGAGCAAAAACCGTTTACCTGCTTCATAACATGTTCTCGCATTCTTTCCAGTTCCTCTTGCCTTTCACGTGGGTCAGTATTTGGATCGCTTTCGTTGTAAACCTTGTCAACCTTAAAAATACAACAGAAATAAAGATAGTACACGTTCAAGATATAGTCACGATAAAAACAATGCGAAGATGGCTCAGTGATTAGGGTAGAGGACTGCAGATTCAAGGGTCTGTGGTTCTATTATCTGACGTGATCAACTTAGGAGAGTGGCAAGCTCTCGGCAATTCCAGGGGTAGGAATCGGGAGGTCTGGTCGCATCCAGAGGAAGAACCATGGTATTTCTCTATAAGCATAGCTTCTCAGTGTCCATAAAACTTCTTTCGGAAGCTAGATAATAACAAGTACAAAAAAACAACAATAAGTGCCGCTAAATACAGGCTTGCTAAAATTTCAGTAGATCCCTTTACAAAGGAATACAGACTTTTTTGCAAGGTTGACTAATCCAAAGGACAAATAAAAAACATTCGAGACTCGGTTTTATCTTAGTTTCACTGAAAGGGCACATAGAACACAAAATCTAAAGACATACTTCCTTTAAAAAAAATCTAGCTCAAGGCCTAGTTCCCAAAGTTTGTTATTTTGGATCTCTTTTAATTACATTGACAGTTCCTTAATAGTTTCGAAACATGGATTTAAGGACAGTGCCTTTTTCATTACACTTTGTTCAGGGTCCTTCAATTCAACAAACACAATTTCTTGTATCTCAATAAGAGCACTAGGTATTTTAATCAAATCTGAACTAGACTCACTTCGTCATTAAGGGCGGAACAAGATATGACAATCAATAAAGAAAATTAACGCAATGAGCTAAAGTAATGAAGATACTAATGAAAATATTTACGACATAAAATGGCACTTACGTACAATTAATTGAAAACTACTCAAAAATTCAATTTGGAAATTTAAAATTTATGATAATGACCTATAAATATTATAAATAACCATGAAAGCATGTTTCAACAACAAATGAAAATTTGAAATAATTATACTCATCAATTACGTTTATGACGACAATATTTATCCCAGAGAACATTTATGATAGCAATTCATTCCAACAACAAATAATTATTTAACAATTAACAAAAAAATTAATGAATTTAGTTTTAACTAGATATAACTGTTTAAATCGGTTAGAGCATTTTGGACAAACAAAATGTTTGGAATTGAGTAGAGAGTGTATATGTTGCAAGAATTGCTGGAACCGAGCTGAATTTCTGATAAGGCTCATTTAAGTCAACCTTACATTTAAGTCACCTAGCCTTATTGTCAGCCTTAAATCGTTTCCTTCTTTTGCTGCGAATTTGTGACTGAGCATTCATTGATCAATATAGCATTCTTAAAACCCTTATTAGAATAAATGGCTACATTTGATAATCATAGCAAACTTCTCATGGTATGGATCATAGCCTTTTTTAAGGGAATTGTATAAATCGATAGAGCAAAATCGCGCCAAGAAAGGAATTCTCTCGCATGTTATGAATATGGCAGACAAGATTTTATACCTGTTTTTATTTTAAAAAACTGAGGAAAGATGTCCTAGACCAACGCTGAAATTTATTGAACATAAGGTAAGAAGAAACTGTAACGTACTTTGTAGTTATTTCTAGCTTCTGAAGTTATTTTTGGAACACTATGCTTGTATTTGTATTTTATATTTTGTATTTGTATTTGCTTCTACCTAGCATCCGAAGGTAGGAAGGACACTGAGAAGCTTATGCTTATCTAGCAGTGTCCTGGTTCTTCCTCTCGATGGACACTGAGAAGCAGATTAGCCCCCCCCCCCTTCGACCATAGCCGGTATAAACCTTGTTGAGTGGCACTTATCAACCTTTACTTCTAGATAGACATAAATAGTGGCATTTACTTTAAAACATTAAAATCCACTTCGATGTTTCAAACAAATTTTAGTATGCTTGTTATCGCACAATCTTTTTTCCAAAAAGAAACGCCTTCGCCATTATATTAATTGAGGACTTGTTGGATGCAATTTTTGTCATTGTTAGCCTTTTGTTATGTGTTTTTGTTAGTTGAAAATTTTCGCTAAAAACTTACATCATCAACAAAGAATGTCTCAAGTTCGAAATTGTCCAAGTATCCATTTCCATCCTTATCTATGAAATAAAATACATTATTTACTTACATCATTCAGGAAAAAAGTTTGAAGTTCAAAGAAATCCAAGTATCCATCTCCATTTTTATCTAAGGATAGAATTAAAAAGTCTTCTTTCATAGTAATTCTGTCTAATTTTCAATTAATTTACAGATAAAGACATACCTAGGCTTATGTCAAACATGAGAATACAGTGAGAAATCCGGCAATAAACTCTTTGAAATGTACTGCACTAAATATTATTGTGCCTAGAGCAACAAAGCTGGCATTTTTTGTCAAAAGTTCAATACAATAACCCAGAATCCTTTATCTGTAAAATGTGCCTGCCAAAATTAAGCTATGCAGAATTTGATATTATTTTGATATTCTTTCAAAGCTTGACTACAATAACTCAGAATTCCTACTCTGCAAAATGTGCCTGCAAAAACTAAGCTATGGAGAATCTTATTCTTTGTTCATCAAAGATCAACAACAATAACACAGAATTCTTTCTCTGTAAAACGTGAAAACTGAGCTATTAAAAATCAGAATTTACTCAGGCCTTGTAAGTAGAAAGTTCAAGGAGCTTGATTGATCAAGCACCTAGCATGTTTGTGCTGTCTAAAAGATAAATGAAAAAAAAACCCAATATTTTTATCGATGATATTTGATGGTGCTCAATTTAGCGCCTAAAAAGTTGAAGGTGCTCAGTTTGCCAAGTACCTGCTTTTTGCTCCTCACAAGGCCTGGATGTAACAGGGTTGTACTGCCAAAAACAAAAACCAAAATAGTCTATCCTACTGATATAATCTGTGAGTACAATCTGTGTGTTGAATGAAGCAATCATCTATTGCTAACTGTCAAAGTTAAACCTCAGTTCCTATGCAAATATTTATATGGTAGGAGAAATAAAAACTTTTTGCTAGGTAACGTTCAAAAATAAAGAAAAAAAGCAAAGACATTTTGCATATCTTTTTATAGGGCAGGCAAAAGCGTGACTAGGAAACTCAGGAATCATAGTACCCCTAAGCAGGCAATAAATGTTTGCAAGGAGCTAGAACCTCTCAAATTAGGCCACCAAGCAAAGTGTTCAGATAATTTTGGCATTCCCAAATCATTATAGACCTCAAATTGCTGATTATATACATCATATTTTTCTTACTGTGAAATTATGTACAAGCACGATTCTTTAGAAACAAAACTGATTTGATTGAGAAATGTAAGAAACAGAGATGTTTAAAACAATTCTCAAAGTAACTTTGATACTAATAGTGTCAAATGATCCTCAAAATCTATCAAAATCAATCTGAATACTGCCATATTGCAAAATACTTAAATTATAATTAAAAACTTCTATAAACTGAAAAACACTCTACTTCCCTAAATAAAATTTCCAGATCTGAAACTTTGAATTTTTAGACTGCAGCCATCAAAGTGCATCCATGCATAATCTTAAACCACTCATAAGCTATATACACAAATTTACAACTTAAATCATCAAACCCATGGAAGAGTATTAAAACCAACCATAAACTTAGCATGAAATGGAAGAGTATTAAAACCAACCATAAACTTAGCATGAATTTAAACAAAATAATTACCATGAAGATTGAAAAACGTCTTTGGGTCAAAACTTTCAGGATCCAAACCATCTTCTTCCTTCCAAACTTCTTCAAGCTCGGCTTTAGATCCCTAAAAATTGATGTAATAAATCTGTGAGAAAATCTTGGAAAAAAGATTGGATAAAACAATGCATACCCATGCAAAAAAGAAAACAAATGGTAGCTTTGAAACAAGTAGACATAAAGTAAGCTAGTTATGAAAGCATAAACAAAAAATCACACAATTTTGAAGTTACAAAACTGCAAAGTAATCTTGATAAAGAAAACTGACATACAAGATAATCTAAAAATGCATGGTACTTTGGAATGGGATAGAATTAGTTACATACAGGCTCATGCATTTTCTCGTGTTTTCTTAACTTCTTCAGCTCATCTTCATGCTCGGCTTCTTTCTTTTTCCTATCTTCTTCACTCAAATTCTTCATCTCTTCTCTCCTTTTGTGTTCTTTTTCTAGTTCATATTTGTGGAAGTCCTCACGCCTCTTCTTGTCCTGTTCCTCCATCATAATATTGTGCTAACAAGAGTAACAAATTTTACTTACATCATATTATTCTTCATCATCCCATACACATAAAAAATACAGAACTTTAATACAGAACTTAAATATAAGCCAAGCAGAAGTAAACTATATTCAGAACTTTAAGTTTGGAAAAAAAGTTTATATAGACAATGAATCAGTAAAACTAAGAATGATTATAGAAGCATATACATCAACAAAAATGGACCCCCTAAACATTTTAAAATCTTCATATATACACTGTGTGAAAACCAAGCATTATCTGACATCTCCCCCAAACTCCTTGACACTAAAATCCGCCCCTGCTTTGGCCTGAGTTAAAAAGTATTTGTTGCAAAAACAACAACTATTTCAAAATGATTTATGAAGCAGGGCAAAACCCAACAATGCTAGCAGAGCATTTGAAGGGAAGCAAAGCATACTTAATTTTTTTCTCTTCCCCCTATTATTTCCTCAAACATAACTTGGGCCATTCTTTCAGAGGCTGTATGCAAAGCATGCATTATGGCAAGCTCAAAATCTGCTAAAATCGCTTGACAATTATTGGGAAATCAAGCCCCTGACTAGCATGTGTACAGAATTCACTAAAAATAGGGGAAGTTGGTAAGACAGATAAGCACTGACTTTCTTGACAAGACTAATCATCTAACAAGACTTTTTTATTCAAATGTCTCAGTTTTTATAACTAAATGAGATTTCTAAATGAGATATTTAGGAAAATCATAATAATTTCTTTATAGACATATTCTTTGGAGATGTTTTTGCAGCTGAGTGCTGACAATGTGTTCTTGGGAGTGGATGTGATGAATCAATCACAGAAATGAAAGTAAACTGTTATGTCTATTTCAAATATTACATCTTTTTTCTTTGTTGTGGTATTTGCTATTAATTTTATCATCAAGCTGCGGTTTCCAAAGTCTCAATCTATTAAAAGTAAACTATCGTTGAAAATCAATAGATGTTAATGAGAGAAAATAATTGACTTTTTGCATGGTAAGAAAAGTATCTTTTATTAGAATTTATAAGGCTGTTGTCCAAGCAAAGAACATTTTAGTTGACCTACCTATGTATAAATACATATATGATAAATGAAAAATATCTTGTAAATAACAAATTAATATTTTATTTTGGTTATATCTGATACCATAATAACAGAAAACAGCTTAGATTTAAAGCTAAGCACAGGAGAACCTGGTCTAACAGCACTTGTAAGAACATGCTATTATTGAAATATTCTGCTGAGACAGCTGTTCATTTTACCATACAAAAATCAGCACTGATTAAATATTAATAGATCTGTTGGGAAACCATGTGCAAATAGAATTTCTTTTGTTTTTAAATATATTACATCAGCAAAAATGCAAACATAATGCTGAAATACATAGGCCATGTAAACATTGTCTATGCCAAAGGTCAAATTATAAGCTGTGAAAAGACAAACTTGTAAGAAATTTATTTAAAAAACAAATGGCAACTTTCAACTTCGCCTTTGCAATTTCTATCTGCGTAATTAAGGCACCATGCAATTACATGTTGTCTTCAAAGTGATTTTTTCTAAGTTTTTGTGTCTTAAAACTATAGAGTACTTCTATGCTAGGTTGCTTTATTTTCGTTTTTTACTTTTGGACCAAAACCCAGACTCTCTTTCTAATTCATGATCTAGATCTAATTAAATGAATGAAGTTTTAAATTGGATCAAAAGGTGCCTCAAAGATGCAGATGGTGATGGCTTTAGGGGCTATCACACTCTCTAGAGGTCTTAAACAATAGGTATGTATGAAAATATATAATGGAGGGATTCAGAATTCTCCCTCTCCTAGTATTGAACTAAAAAAGTTGGCACACTTTGCTGTGTGTCATTTCCAATGGAGGTAATTCCTTTCAAACAACAAAAATCCATGTATTTTTTGAAAAACATAAATGCTCCACACAAAGTTTCTGCAGAGCTATTTTTGCCAAAAATAGCAATATATTTGTAACTAACTTATATTTGTATGAACAAACATTACAAACCTTATGCAATAATTTCTTTAAATCTTCCTGTTCAAATGTATCGCTATTTTCATCAAATAGAGGACTCCAAAAGTTTCTTTCATTTATCCCATTAAGATGGTCCCTTTCCTGCCTTCTTAATCTTTTTTGGAACTCAATCTCCATTCTTTTAAGTTCATCTAGTTTACTTCTAACTTTATGGGAAACCAAGTCTATGTGATCTGCAATTGCTCCTGATCGAATTTCATCTTCTGAAGCATTGTGTAATTTCTTTTTGAATTCATCATCTTCTTCTAAGATTTCAACAACCTGAAATGGTATTATAAACATTGTTGGATATTTGTTCACTAAAAACAGCTGCTGAACTCTCTTTTCCATGAATTTTTTAACATTACTTCTGTCATGAATACATAAATAGGAAAAGTGTTTGAAAATCTATCAACAAATGTATCACAAAGAGAGCTACTGGCAAAAGTTGGTAATTAGTGCCCCTAACGAGGCCAAGGAGCATGATCAGGTGATCATATTATGGCCACAATACAATCTAGGAAGCTTTTACAGAACTGGCAAAACGTTTTGTTTACAAGCTTTCATGGACACTTTAGGTCAATAAAATGTAATAGAAACATTCAAAATTAAATCTCAAAGCCATTTCGCGAATTCGTGACAGCGTTTAGCATCATTCCTTCATGCACTGGTATTACATTTCTAATTACTTGATAATTAGGTGCAGTTTCAATTACTTTTTAGAAGCGAGGCCTTGAAAAACAACGATAAACTTTGCTCTGATCACGGCGAACAATTCAAAGCCAATAATAATTCAATTTTCATTTGTTCGATAGCTAACTAAATAAAAAAATCCCTGCAAAGTAGAGCTGATAAATGACAATTTTATTTAGTTCTCTGAACACTTTCATCTTACCTGGCCTAAGTACCTCAAGTACTCGGCTTCTTCTTCTTTCTTTGGATGTTCTTTCTCCTCTTTTTCTTTTCGTATAGGTTTTCCATATATTTCATTTATAGCTAAAACACAAAAAAGGAGCAATAAGATGGTTTTATGGGCCATTTCTCTGCCGACTGTAACCAGCAATCGCTTCTTTGATGAATGGCCTAAACCCTTTTGATCACAATAGAAAATCAGGTTAACCAGACGTGGCTTAATTTACGTCACAGGTCACGTGCCAACAAAGTGTTCCGGTTCGAGGAAAAATGACATCAAATTATTTTCCTGAAAACTTCCAGTCTTTCTGCCATTTGGTACGAAAATATACAGAAATGTAGTATTTCTACCGGAACATTTCATTGTGGGGAGGCGGAGAGGCGTCACACCCCCTTGAACAAGAGTATTTTGGAAAAAGACTGCTGTTGCCAATCTATTGATTTCAGCTACACCTAGAATTTAGCTATTTTCATTTCATTTTATAAATATAAATCCGTATGACATAACTCAATGTAGTATTTAGTTAAAAATTTGGTCTTATCAAAAATCTATGAAACTTTTAACTGAGAAGATGATTAAAATTTTGCAACAACAGCTAAAAACTACTTGAGGTTGAGACTTCTAGTAAAATTTATGAATAAGATGATAAATTAAAATATCATCTTATATGAAGTATCATATGTTAAAATATAAGATGATTATTACGCAAATTATAACACAACAATACATTTCAAAGTATCACAATGTACACTATACATAACTTCTTTGATTTCTCAGAAAATCAACAGCCTGATAAATCTTTTTATGTACCTTGTGTCCTTGGTTCTTTCAAAATACCAGTTATCAGTTTACACTATTTTGTATTTGTGTCTCTTACCAACTACACCACCAATTCTAAATCGTGGTTTGATATATTCGTAATTCTTCAGACCAACGCAATTCTAAATTCAAACAATTCATTTAAGACACATTAGATTATAGTTTATGATTTTTAGGCCCTTTCAAAATGATATAAGTTTTTCATTTTGCATTTCATTTCATTTAAACTCCGCTTTTGTTTGCGAGGGGGAAACAATTTTCAGTGCATAAATTAGCATTTATTCTCTTCAATGTGAAAGGAACTTATTGATGAAGACACAGTCCATGAACTTGGTTAAAATCCTTGCTTGGAAGACAATGAAAAAGTTGGGGTTTAAGCGTGACACCAGTGGCGTACCCAAGGGGGGGAATAGGGAGGTCCGGACCCCCCCCACTTTTCTAAAATATGATCCTCGAGATTTGTCCAAAAATGATGCAAAACTCATTGGGGGGGGTGTAGTATACTGTATGCTTGTGTCAATAACAATGTAAAATACTTTGCTATTTACCGAAGCTAACATGAATCAAATAATGGGGTGACATTCTGCAAAAAGGGCGTTTCCCCGCATTTGCGAGTGTATGAAGGGCGTGATCCAAAAATTTTTTAATTTTTAATAAAGACCCCCCAACTGCTATAGCCCTGGGTACGCCACTGCGTGACACTACAGTTTCTTTGTTTCTAATGGACTTCCCCGCAGTCGTTGACCGTGAAACGACTATTAAATGAAAGGTTTAGTATGATTTGATTTGAATACGAGGCTAACCTCGAGCTTGACTTACTAACTACATTTATAAACGATAACGTTGTTGAATCTCTTGCATGATTTTGTGCTTTTAGTTTTTAGCTGAAGTAACGAGGCGTATTTCTATACTATTGTAATACTGCTAATTTTAGGCCTTTCTCTCTAGTCCATTCGTTTGATTTTCCTTACCTAATCACTCTTGTTTATCTGTAACTTTCCTTGCTCGTTCCGCATTTTTCTATCACGTGTATTAGGATAATCTTTGTAATATTATGAGTAACTTCATACCTACGTCAATTATCAGCATGTTAAGTAGATCGCCATAGCAACCCAGTATTTTAGGATATCGCGCTACCCCACCCCGCTCGTTACTAAGTAGATTACTTCCTTTCACCGTTTCTTTTACGTATGTCTATTGTTTTTAGTTCAGTATTTATAGGAGCCCCGTACCTCATCTTAGGCAGGAAGAATTATGGAAAAGTAGCAGCAAGAGAAAGCAGTTTAGGCATGCACCGTTTTAGGGGCAAGATGCTTGTGAAAGATCTTGTTGCCTTCGTTTTGCACTTAGTCGTTTTGAAATATTTATAGGAGATTTATCAGTTTTGGAAGACCTCTGGGATAGTTCTTGAGAAAGATTATGCCCATGTCACGCGTTAATCATTATGCCGTTGTTAGCATGCAAGTTATGTAGCTGCCGGGACGATTTTATCGAAAGAAAAGAAGGAAAGATTTAACCGATTTACGTCGCATCATTTATTGGCCATCCTCTGCTTTTTAAAGGTCCTGAGAATCGATCGATTTAAGCAAACATTTTACACTATTGTTTTAATTTGTGTAGTTAATTAGGTTACTTCGCGTATCGTGATATTAGGTTTAATCTCATTAGGAACGCTTTTATGTGAATTAGCGTTTAGACTAGCTCCCCTACGAAGCCCGCTACGCGGGCTTGCCAGTGACCCTACGGTAGAGTACATAGATTAGCCTCGGAAAAGACAAGAATTCTGTCGAAGCCCCCTATGAGTATGCAGATTAGCCTCGGAAAAGACAAGGTGTATCAACCTCGATTTGAAAAAAATTGGCTCCGCACAGGTCACGTGATAAAAAATTACTCGCACTCCTGTGACTATCGCTAGTCAGGGGGTCGCCTGAGATAGAGAAGGGGTAGAGGCTCCCCCCTTCCTAGCGATAGTCACAGGAGGGCGAGTAATTTTTTATCACGTG